TGTAACAACACTTAAACAAACTCCATGGGGCTTTCTTTTTCCTCCAAACAGAGAAAATATAGGCTTTTGTCTGCTGTCAGATGGGACTGTGTATGGGTGGAGCTGCAGCACACTGTTTTCCTCAGGCTAATGCAAACCCAGCGGGGAGGCTGATATTACTGCAGGACAAACAGCAGTCAGCGAAAGAAAAAAACGACAAGAACAGGGCCCTTTTTTGGAACGCTCATATCAGTTTTTCCATGTAGCTCTGAGGAGGCCAGCTGCTGTGTGAACTGCTCAGGGAGGGAGCAGTTACCTAAGACAGACTCAGTGGATGCGATGGCTGTAGTTTGTGTTAACATAAGGGTTTAGTAATGGAAGAATTGAGGCATTTTGAATTTCACCTCTCTTATTTATGAGAATAAATGTGAATATTCATCGTTAGACCTGTTTGATTTATTTCTTGGAGCAGATTGTTGTTCTGAAACATATTTTAGCTGGTTGTAAATTATAAAAGTGCAGGTCCTAGTAACTATGCTTTTTCAGTTAGATTGTTATAAATCAAAGTAAAATGAAGCTTTTACATCTAATCATCAGGACTTGTTGCTGGTTGAACAATTTATTTAAGATGAAAGTCTGTCACATCAATTGACTAATAAATTAAGGTAGATGAATGTAAGTAAATAAATTGGTTAAATTGTGATTATAGATCTATAGCACCAGTTTTGTAAACATACACATTGCTTCTATGAATCGCCTCAAAAATGCTTTCATCATCTATTAGGATTGAAGAAACAGTAGTGCCTGGCTCTAAATTGCGTTACATGGTTCATTAGTTTCATAATATTATGGGAGAAAAGTTCCATAGTTGATGATGTAGCTTTGATTGTTGATATGAAAATAGCTATTTAAAGAACTCCCTCATAATGTATGTGTTTAAGATGGACATTGATTATAATTTTAAACCTGAAAATGCCAAGTTTCTTCAAGTGAGCTTTCAGGTATGACAGTCATTATGGGCCTTATTAAGAGTCTTGTTGGCAGCTAATTAGATGCAGCTTCATCATGTGTTTAGTGCTGTGCCACGTTCTGCCTTATTAGTCTCTAAGAAGGCCATTAGCCCCTCAGAAATAATTAATCAACAGTATTTCTGACCCAGTTCTGTGTCGTGATGCTGCTTTCTCGCCCGCCCATTGCTTTAAAGTGTCTATACATCCAGTCTCTCTCCCTTTTTTTAATCTTCATCTCCGCGGGTCGGCCTCATTTTCTCGCTGTAAACCGAAGTATATTCTTTGACAGCGGGTCTAAATGGCGATAATGAACCCAGCGGGAGTGTGACTAGGGAGAGTTTTCAGAGCCACAGGTGTGTTGGCGGCACAAACACGCGAATCTGTGCTGAGAATAGAGCGCACTTTCACTCTCCGAGGCGGACGCAAACACGAAGGTCACACTGACATTATTGCCTTTCAACCCTTTTCTCCTTTTTCTTTGAGTCTTTTCTTCGCCTGCTTTATATCCGCTGTTGTCCTCCTCATGGCATATGCCGTTAAAAGTTTATGAACTGCAGCATCACAATAATAACAATGTTAATGTGTGTAATATAATCAAATGAAAAAAGACTAATCTCTTTATTCACTTTTTACAAGCCGCGGTTATAAAGTCAATCTCAAAGCGATAATAAAGCTCGTAAAATCGACAAAAAGTGATGAGTGGAGTAAGCAAAACATAAATACAGTGGTGTAAAAGAGCAGGTAAGCAAGGGAAGGGTGCTGTAAAAAGAAATCTGGGGTTATGTACTTCATGAGTATGTTTTTAAATACTGTAGAAGTTTAAATAGAATAAGTATCGTTCACTTCTTAGAACGTTTACCTTGAATCCTAATGTGAATTCTTTTGTTTTATGGTTCAGTACGTATTGTAGGTTATAGCTTGTACTGTAGCCTGGTTGGGACATAAATCAAAAGGAGTGTCCACTACTAATTTAACTTTCTATGTCCAGTTTGTCATTTGTTAAGCTCTTTTATGAAAATGAGCTTCTTTCACTTCTTTCCATCATTTATCATCATAAGATAGAGACTTTTGTGATATGTACAGTGTTTTTCAGAGTGGAAATTTGTGACATTTTTATCTTATAAGACAACTTTTGCTTGGGTTAAGAAGCAGATGTCAGTATTATTCTATTAGACTGAGGACAAGTAGGTCAATTTATTTCAAATTATTTGTATATGTTGTAAAGAAAACAGTTTCCTATAGTGTTTATAGAGCTTATTTTACATTTCACCAACTCAGGTAGATTAAATTTTTTAAAGATTGTTAATTCATAGAGGTAATTAAACAGCACAGAATGCCCAAGGTAATCTACTTTTTTGCTATATTATTGTTCAGTTTTACTCCACTCATTCAAATACTCACTTGTAACATGTCCTTATTACTGAGCTTTAAATGAATGAACTGTACTTCAGTTTCATGCATTCATTCAGCATCAATCACGCCAATGTTTTTATGTTTTATTTGAATATGCAAAAACACTTGAAAGCTAATTCTACTTAAAGGATGAAAGCAGTTCAACAGTTCTTGGTCGAACAAATGTACATCCTCTTGAGTTGAAACTGGTCAAAACAGAGAGGCGTAATGGCTATTGGATTTTGAGTGTTGTGGAGCTGATGACCTTATAAAACGTGACCTTGGTTACAATTGGCCCCGGGGCTGCACGCTGGACATGCTCGATATTACCCAAGGCTGTCTTTATATTGACTGAATAAAGCAATTTTATGGAACACACCTCCTTACATCGTCCCACTAAATAAATATCACTTTGGTTTTGATATCAGTGTCAAATTGTTCCGTACATTGTGAAATTGGCCGGTGTTAAGGCGAGCATTATTGCATGTTTTAGCGCGGGCTTGGTAAAGGCGCGTTAGCTTCCTCCCGGTGCACGAAGGAGACAGACATAGTGCAAGGCTTGGACATCCTCTCCAGCAGCGCAGATGCCACTAAATAAAATATTTCATAATCCTGCCCAAATCCTCTAATCACCATGACAACAGGCAGCAGGGAGTCAGAGCCGGCTGGTGTGTGGACCCCCCGCCCTCTTATTCCATTCGCTTTTCCCCTTTATTTTAGCAAGACTTGCTCCACACTGTACATATATTTATCTAGTGCCTGGTGTAGAGTGGGGCCACAATTGAATCAAAATCATCATTTGTATGGTTGCAATTACCTAATCAGAAAGACTGCAATTATCTTAGTGGCAACAACAAAATATTACAGATTATCATTACAAAACCTGATAATCTTGTAGTTTAGAAATGCAATGTGATTATTTTATTAGTTTAGCAGTTCATGTTTCAAATTGTCTTTCAATTGCTTCTGCTCCTGGATGAGTTTAAATGTGCACTGTGAATTGATGCTTGATTTTTTTATTTTTTTTGACAAACATTGCAAGTCTGATCAGAAAACTCGCAATTAAGATGTATTTTTCCAACATTCGGCCCTAGTGCAGAGAAGTCGAGAACACACTCCAGATTAATTAGTGTTTTACTTGTGGAAAACTGTTGCACTTTTAGAAGATAAGACTTGCCTAAAAGCAGAGAACAAATCTGGCAATTACCCCTAGCCAAGACTTTCTTTTCGCCGAATCAAAAGAACTGGAGATTTGTGTCTAGTGCCGACAAGATCTGGAGTGTACACAGTAGAAGAGCGCACTCACACACACACATACACACACACACGCACCCATCACTCGCATCCAAGTCCTGCTAGCGTCTCTGTACCGTGATAGGATAATGGAGGGGATGACCTCATGGGGTGAAAGGACCTGTTGCCTGGTAACAGTGTGGATAACAGCGAAACAGGGGGGTTAGTCATATCGGGAGCGCTGTGTCTAAGTGTTGTGTGATATCGACCAGCGCTGCCAGGTAAGGGAGATGATGATAGTGGGCGCAAGTAGAAAGTCCATTTTAAGACTATTGATTGTGCTTAGTTGCTGTTTGGGGGTGTGTGTGTGTGTGTATGTGTGTTTTTATATTGGCCTAATCAAGTCCGACACACTGCCCCGGTCCTGTGTACATTTCCAGCTGCGAGGGGCATTTCTCACATTTTACTGGCTCTTCTGTGGCTCACTTGACTGCCTCTGCCACATAAAGTGACCATAAAGGCGATGTCGCACTGTTGCAGAACCAGAAGTCCCCGTTTTGATTTTTGAGAACATGTCGCATTTTTCAGATCCTGAGCTGAAAATGCATTGCTTTGTTGTAGGAGGATTAGAGTTGTCACAAAAATGAAAAGACTCTATGCAGATTGCAGATTTTGATATCACACTGGTGGTACAATTTAAAATTTTTATTTTTACAGATAATGCAACTTTTACACACAAAACAGTAATATTTTCTCTATCATGTGGCTTTAGTTCTAATGAAGATCAAGATCACTGTAAAACTATTCAGGAAAGATTCAACTTTGACCTACTTATGTAATTTCTTCAGTATCACTACATGCTCAAATACACATCCAGTAGTTATATTAGATTTAGAATCGATTAGTGTCTGAATATTGACTTTATATTAAAAAAATAATAATGCCAGTGCAGGTAGGATGGTTATATATATATATATATATATATATATATATATATATATATATATATATATATATATATATATATATATATATATATATATATATATATATATATATATATATATATATATATATATATATATGAGGCAACTGCATACTATGACCCTTATTAAACACTTAAATACATAATCTTTTGAATCTTTTTAAATGACAGTTGAGAAAGCGTGCAGACAAAAAGTGGCAGTTCTACAATATGGTGAGCCTCGCCATTATGAAGCAATGTATATCATGCATGCCGAGGCCTGTCATGAGTATTGTATTATATTATCCATCAAAATCTGCAAGCTTGGGATATTATTACAATGTTTGGCTGTACACGTCGTTTCCTCTGTTTCATCTGCGCGTCACACATGAATAACAAAACCCTCTTCTTCCTCTCTCCAGGTATTCGGCCCCAGATAATGAATGGGCCCATGCACCCACGCCCCCTAGTGGCACTGCTAGATGGGCGCGACTGCACCGTGGAGATGCCCATCCTCAAGGACCTAGCCACAGTGGCTTTCTGCGACGCCCAGTCCACACAGGAGATTCATGAAAAGGTTTGTGGGGTTCACCTCAACATCTCGACACAAGTACTAGTACTAAAAATGTGTCTTCCACTGTTATGCCTGGAAGGGTAAGATTATTTATTTGTTCGAGTTGTTTGAGAACATTCTTTCTAGAGACAAACGCCTACTCACGAACAGACAGGCAAGCCCAGTCAGCATTATTATTATGCTTGTAATGAATTTCACTAAAAAAGGTCTTGAGGCTAGAGGTCGAGAGTAACAGCAATGTAATAAATTGGAAAGTTGAAAATTCTCAAGTTAGGGTGAAATTGTCTATTTACTAGTACTGAATCACCAAACCATATAATGGACAATAAAAGGGATGGCAATATACAGCAAGTCTGAATACCAGATTCACACCTAGAAGAGAGGGAAATAATGAAAAAAGGAGGTTTAAAAGAGGCTTCAAGTAGAGATGATTGCTAGATAAACATGGTACTAGTGCAATGTTCTTTTCAAATAGGGACATTAGTTGATCTGATTTTATAGCCCATTGACGTTTACAATATCTGAGTCTCTACCAAGACATTTACGGACACTTTTTGACTTATTTTACTGATTGACGTAATACAAATTTTTGTCAATATTGCCCACACATTTTCAGTACAATTAAAATTTCTGAACTCTCTTGACAATTTATAACTAAAATATAACCTATCCATTGTAATGGTTTTGCCTTTGCCTGGAAATTTAGTCATTGTAACACTTAAAGAAATTCTCGTAGCATCATTCCAAAGAGTTAAAATCTGTAGAGGTTGTGTCTGTCCTCACAGTTCCTCTCTTATGAATCAAAGCTGTTTTTACAAGCTCATTTTTGTACATGTTGAACTAATTACACAAGCAATCCCAAGCCAAGATCTGCTAACTACTGTGAACTTCTTAACAGTAATATTTTTCCAATTATCAACTTGCTGTGCTTCTCACTCATTTCATCATTGGAAATTTGCCAAAAAGTATTTGGTTTTATTGGCTTTTCTATTCTAACTACTACATTAGCAAATTTAAAGGGCCTATATTGCACTATTTTCTGATCTATATTATAATGTTGTTTCCTCGTAAAAACATACATTCTCAAACAGAAACACTCTGTTCCACCTTGTGATGTCATGTGGTAATACAGGACGTACTCCACTGTGTTTTTCAACTCCATACACTTCGACTTTAATCATTTGGATGATTTCAGCCCTAAAATCTCAATCTCAGTCAGCTAATCTCTATTGAGCTAAAGGTAAATTGTAGCTGTTAATTTGAACGTTACCATTACATGACATCACTAGGTGGAACAGAGCATTTTGAGCTTTGGAGATGTAGATAGACTAATAAAAAGATTACTCAAACTCATGTGAATGAAACAGCACCACTCCAGGTATGTTTCTGATGAGGTAACAATGCCAAAACATGTCTTAAAGCTCACAAGAGTCCATTTTGCGTAATATTGGACTTTTAACATGTACTTTTTTCATTTAATATTTTGAGTATACATTTCTTAATAGTAGTACAGTTTCAATGATATTTGCGCAGTGGCTTGTTCCGTCTCCCTGTTGAAGTGTAATAGTGTCATCAGAGCTCTAATCCCGCTGGGCGCCTCGTTAAATCAGGAGGAGGCGGTTAATAGAAACGCAAGTCTAATTGTTCGGAGCTGGAGTGGGTGAAACATTTTACTGTCTGTATACCGGGCTAATTCCACATTGTGAGCAAGAGCCTGTGAAAATGTGTCCAAGCAACTGATAAGAACACTAGAGGAAATTTGATTATAATAGTAAAAAAAAGTTGTTTCAACCAGGACTGTACGATACTCTATATAGCAATCAAATCGAAATCACAGTTTGAATTCTCTTGGGAATGGGAAGAAAAACTTGTTGAACCGGTAGTTTAGGCCTCTGTAAACATGTTGTGAAATGCATAGGATTCTTGTATTAGCTGAGGTCACATTTCAATCTGCTTGTAACTGTAAGTGTTCTAAGATGTGCATGGAATTCTGATTGGAAAGATGAAAATTGAAATCGACATTGAATTGTCTGTTGCTGAAAAGAAAGTTGTTGACCCTGTATTTTACACATCCACAAAAATGTTAGGAGTCGAGTAGTACTTTAGCAGTTCATAATATGATCTGGTCTCAAATGTTAATGCTCCTTGATGTGTTTATATATGTGTGGTGAAGGGAATTCTGGTTTGAAAACATAGATTGAAAATTAAATTGAAATCGGAATTTGAATTGTCTGTTGTGAAAGATTTCTTGAAACATGTTGTGAAATGCATAGGATTCTTGTACTACTTTAGCAGTTCATATTTCAGTCTACTTTCTGATGTTAATGCTCCAGGATGTGTTCAAAATGTGCACAGTGAACTGAATTCTCATTTGAAAACATAGCTTGATCACATCAAAATCACAGTTTGAGTTGTCTTTTCTGGAAGCAACATGTCGAGCCTTTAGCTTAGACCTCTTCAAACGTGTGTGTATGAAAAGCATAGGAGGCTTGTATTACTTTAGCAGTTCCATTTTTTGATGTGCTCTCTAATGTTAAAGGCGCACTATGTAACTTTTTTGTTAATGATCTGCCACCTGCTCTGTTTCTAAGGCTCTGTCATTGCTCTGCCTAGAATGTGCCACAGTATGACATTAAACTGCTCTACCTTGCATTTATTAAATTACAGGTGGTTTTATAGCTCAAAAATACTCCAAAATCAGGCATTCTGACCGTGAGCGGGGTCGCCTCTACACAGATCTGACCTGTAACTTGGTCTGGTTTGGTATCCATGAAGACAGAAAGGTTTACAAACATTTCAGATAAAGCAATAACATCTCCGAAAAGTTACATAATGCTTTAGAATGTATACCGTGAATAGAATTTTGATTTGAAAACATAAATTGCAACTCAAATTGAAATATCATAGTTTTTGTTTTTCTCACATAATCATACAGCTACAGTTCAAACTTTAACCTTTCCATCCATTCATTTGTTAACTTGTTTCAACTTTTTCTTCAAATCCTATGCGTGCCATTTCTCCCACGGTGGGCGGACCCATTTGGGGAGTGTAGGAGTTGGCAGCGTTCCCAAAGCCATAACTACATTGCAGAGGGTACAGATGGGGCACTCATGTTGCATTCATGTGGCGTCGGAAAGATTGAAGAAAAAAATCAAGAGCTGGAAAATGCACATGAACACCTGCGCTGGGCGAAACAGTAACCACCACTCAGAGGATGACGTCATGCTAGCTGGCCAGTCTGATCTACCATAACAAACTTCAATATTAAACTCTGTCATCTAGTTTTAGAGAAGCCAATTAAAAGAGGATTAGGGGCACTGAGTCTTTTTATGAAACTTATTCATAAAGATTGCAATTAACATGTCACTTTGAAAAGATGCCGACAGCCTACTTTAACAAATGTAAAAGGGCACGTAGTTGAATAAACACATAGTTTTCACTTTCTTGGTTGCACATATGCTTTCAGTTGTGAGCACCACACAATATATCAAGTACATTAGGCTTTTACAATATACCGCAAAATGATTGTTATTACAGTATTTTCTGACATGCGAACCAGATCACTAACACAATATTGTTGGTAACGCTAAGGTTTGTCATTACCCAGATATTTATTTTGCTTTTAAAGAGGGGGTATTTTGCACAATTGATTTTTGGGAGATTTCCACATTTATAAGCGTGTTCCCTCATCAAAAACATGTCTGAATATATGCAATTTTGATTAATCTAGTAATCTCACCCAGACACTATTCAAATTCTACGTCACCCATGCTCCCACATGGCAATTCACCGTAAATATACAAGAACAAGATACAAAATGATATACTACAACTACACAAACCTGGTGCGATGCGCATGAGTTTAATAAGCGGAATGATTGTGATGTGATAGTGCTCTGAAAGGGGAGTGAAGGAGCAAAGGGAGGAAGGGAAGGGACTCAGAGGGCCAAACACAAAACAGAAACTTATTAAACATTTAAATGCGTTACTTTAATCATGCATTTTCAGCATGATTAAAGGTAATACAGTGATCTAAATATGTTATGAAATTAATATCCTACAGAAGTATAATACCCTCTCTTTAAAGAGCTTAAAATGCAGCTGGAAAGGATTTCTTGTAAATTAACTGAACTAATTGATTTGATATATTAAAGCATATGTTGAAACTGATTACTTTGATTTAACTGCGCAAAAAAAAATGTACATTAGTAAGCACCATTGCACTGCTTTTTCAATGAAATGACACTCATCTTGTATATCAAAATCTAGGTCTGTTATTTCTCAGTGAACACCTTTTAAATAATTTTTCCTATCAGTAAATAAATTCCACACATTACACTTGCTTGTCAGCTGTAAAAGTGTCTCTTACTTTAAACTACCTTCCATAACATCAGATGAATGCGATGGTGCACTCAGCCTCAGTGGCAGTTGAAAAGTGCTGTTCAAACTCACATTTCCGCACAAAGAATTTTAAATAAAGCAGTGCAGTGTCTGTGGCTCTGGCTGACAGCTACCTGTTGGCAAAAACACCACACAATTCAGACCAGAGAGGGCGCGTGTGTCCTTGGGAAGACTAAAGGAGAGGTATTGTCAGGTTTAGTCAGTTTCAAGTTATATCATTGCACCATTGTTCAGTGAAGTGTGTGGATTTTAGCACAAAGATAGCACTGGAATGTGCTGTCGCTGAAAAAAAGGGCTCTTATATTGTAGTCGCAGCAAAAGAACAGTTCAATTTCACTGTTTTACAAGACTTGTTGGCAATGCTGAATTAGTGCCTCAAATAACACTAAGAGAGTTGACAATTGAAGCGTATCGCGCATCAGAAACCAGTAATACGATGCTTTGTCATACTTATCTAAACCATGGCACATTGAAAGGTGTGTTCTCCCAGGATGAATGGTCTGATGGATACATGTCAGTGCACATAAAGCAACAATAGACAGGGATAAAAGCAAACAAGACCAAAGAAAGTACAGCATTACAATAACTAAAATGTAATGTGTTTTTCTCTTGAAGCTCTGTTTTTGTACAATTGGGATGCGATGCTTTTATTTGTTAATCTTTTATAAATTTGGTGGGTTTTACAAAAATGTCCAGTAAATGGTAATGCATTTGTAAAGTGATTCTTTTGTTGTGGAAAAATGGTCTTGGGGGTATTTATCACAAAATGGTTCTCCTAAATGTACATGACATTTTAATTTTCAATGAACAAGTTAAAATGTTTAGGGATGCATTGATCCAGCTTTTTCAGTTTTGATACTATAGCATTAATAACCCAATATTGACACCAGTGTAGAGACTGAAAACGGCATTTATTTCCTTTAAGCTAAAACTAAATAAGTCAAAACGGATCCAAATGTGTTATGTAGCTGTTATTTATCTCTTAAGTAACTATAGAACAGCTTTGTAGATATAAAAATTCAAACATTGTGAGAGTTTGTGGGCCGACTATGATAAACTAAATAGTCTTATTACATCACACAATTAAATGTCTATGTATAAATTTTGATATCCGATACCAGTATCAGATCAGTGCATCTATTAAAATTTTGTAGCAATAAAAAAAATGAATGCAAGATAGATACATTGAATACTATATTGTCAAACGTTTAAGCCAAAGCAATACCCCCCTCCTCCCACACACACACATCAGAAAAGTTTCGTAGTCCACCTTTAAAAATGATACAATATTAATATACTTCAGCGTGTGAATATTTAACATTTCTTGTACCTCGTTCTACATAGTGACTAGTTAGGTGTTTAGTGTGTAGCTGTGTCTTCTGGCTGCTCCTGATCAGTAATGAGATGAATGCACAAGGAGAGCTTTAACCTTGAATTTACCATCCCTCTCAGACTCGGGCTAGTACCTATAAAACGCTCAGGACAAATTGATGGCTATGCTAATCCAGCCCGGTGGTTAGCTTAATTCCGTTAGCGGGCGGCGAGTTTGAACCTGTTGGTGCCCAGCTGCTCCTGGCGCTCTGTTCTGTGACACAAAGCAGCTTCGGCTCCTCATTATCACCACACAGGGACCAGCCTCAGTTTACAGCACTCACATAAACCAGCCATTTGCATTTAGATGAAGAATAGCATCTATAAACACCGCAGCCTCGAACAAAACTGTCACACTGGTATTTTAAACTGGCGCTACAAGCAACTATTTATCAAGACTGAACTTCATAGAAAATACTGTTTCAGAGCATACATAGAACTCTCGATCTGAGCCAAGAGAACAACTTGATTTAACTGTTATGTAAAGGTGGGGAGGTTCAGCATCTAATTGCACATCATGACCGCAAATATAGCACTAAAGCTATTGAGTATAGCTACTGATTTAAGGTTTGTTACAAGAGATATGTAATTCATTTTCATGTGTGGAGCATGTGCCCTTATTTGGGTACCAAGTCTGGCCACTGTGCAGGACTGGATCATGTTATTATAATATGATGTTATTGCTTTTGGTTTTAACCATATTGTAAATGTCTTGTATTCCCAACATACTGTAGCCAGACACCATGTTTATTTTAGCTTCATACTAAATTACTTTTTTTTATAAACTGTCAGCTCACTTTTGTCTGAGGTATTTTGAAGACATTATTTTAAGTCAGGGGTTCTCAAATGTTTCACACAAAATACCACCCACGTCCTAAGATAATATTTGACTTTGAGAGTACTACCAAATCTTGAACTGGACAATATCAGGACGGTATTAGAACTAGACATCGTTTTAAATTAGACTAAACCATGAGGTAGTTCTAATTATCCCAAAAGAAGACAAAACAATAAAAAAGTTCACCTAAAAAAAAAACTACAGAGAGCTACACACACCACAGATTGTGAAACACTGCTTTCTGTTATACTGCATAAAAACCAATGTGGTAAAACTGTTTGTAAAGCCATAATCAGGAGCTTTCTGGTCTCCCTTGATCCTTGCTATGCTTGATTTGTAATACTAATGGATGCAACAGAGACAACATATTTTTAGCTGTATTGGTCAGCAACCAACAAGCACTTACTATTCGCGAGACAAATCAATTCTCCTTTGCAGCAGTATTCCTAAATAACAGGTTGTGATGATGGTTATTTGCGCTGCAGGTGCTGAATGAAGCTGTGGGAGCCATGATGTACCACACCATCACGCTGACCAGAGAGGACCTGGAGAAGTTCAAGGCCCTGCGCATCATCATCCGCATTGGCAGTGGCTACGACAACATCGATATCAAAGCCGCCGGGGAGCTTGGTAAGGCGCCTCCAGGCACAATCCGGACAGGAAATGTCTATAAAAATCCTCAGAAATTGCACACTATTAAACATACATAGCGTGGTAAGTTCCCATATGGTTTGCTTGGCCGCTGTCAGATGCAAAACCTGCTAAATTAAACAACAAAAGTATTTATTTATGAAGATTGCGCACCTCTGGACTCGCGCCAGGCCCTCCTCTCTGATCACAAACAACATATGTAATGGGAAATATTACATTGACTGAAACAGAATGTCTTATGAGTGTGCACAGCAGATGCCCACACTCTTATGAAATGCTCCACTGCCCCCACTGCCCCCCCCCTTCAACATATGTTTACTGTGAGAGTGGGAGGAACGCTGATATCCTAATTATTTGTGTTCATACATGTAGACATACAGACGTGGGATTGAACGTGTTTAATTAGCCTCTTAATTATCTCGTTATCTTTTATTGAAGGGATCTAGCCATAACCTAATCGCACAATGCGTATTACTACCCTGTATTGTAACACTAGTGATGTTAGCATGCAATGTTTTAGGGAATTAACATGTTGAAATAATGCTCTAAGAAACATTTTGCATTATTACTTTCATATTTCACAATATTAAGAGTTAATGGGTGTTTAATTATTTAATTTCCTGATTTAGAGTCCACTTAAACAGAGCAAAGGATTATGGGGATTGCAGTTTTTCCCTTTTTACCTTGTCACTGCAAAATTCAATGCATTTTATGTTCAGGAGTTTGGCTTTAGACTTGGGATATCACAAGTTTCTTCCATATTTATGCTGTAATTAGTAAAGGTCCTAAATTACACTAAATGTATTCTTTTGAGCTTTAAGCCACATGACGATGTTGTTCCCTCATCAAAAACATACCTGGAGTTGTGTTTTGCTGTATTCACACATTGACGATTAATCCTGCATTGTTAGTCTGTCTAGATCCCCGAAGCTCAAAATGCTTTCTTCCACCTTGTGATGTCATGAAGTGATAGTTTTCAAGTTAACAGCTACCTTTTACCATTTATTCTGTAGAGATTGGTAATTCCAAGCATGAAATCATCCATATAATTCTAATGAAGGTGTATGAAGTTTAAAAATATAATGGAGCTTTTCTTGTATACATACATTACATCACAAGGCAGAACAAGAGTGTTTTCAGTGTGAGAGAAAATTAAATGAGGAAACAACATTTGTTTATATTTATACATTTTTACTGCTGCAGTTTTGGTGTATCGAAATTTCGTTGCATTTTGTACAGTGACAATAAAATCTAATCTAAAAACATAGATCAGATATTAGTGTTAAATGGGCCCTCTAAACAATTTCATATGGACATCTCTTGCAGGTATTGCTGTGTGTAACATCCCCTCCGCTGCTGTAGAAGAAACTGCAGACTCCACACTATGTCACATCCTCAACCTGTACCGACGAAATACATGGCTGTACCAGGCTCTACGGGAGGGCACGCGGGTCCAGAGCGTGGAGCAGATCCGAGAGGTGGCGTCGGGTGCTGCCAGGATCAGAGGAGAAACGCTCGGCCTCATCGGATTTGGTAAGTGTGTCAGCGTTCAAAACGTAGTATCATTAAAGATTAAAGGTGCTCTATGTGACTTTCTGACTTGGGGTCCATCACCTGCTTGTTTTTATGGATATGTCATTGCGCTGTCTGGAATGTTCCAAAGGATGCCATTAAACACCTTTACTTTACATTTATTCATTTACAGTTTTATTTATAGCTTAAAAATAACTAAAAAACATGCATTTTGACTGTGAGCAGGGCTGCCTCTCCACAGATCTGACCTGTAACTTGGTCTGGTTTGGTCTCCATGAAGATGGAAAGGTTTGATATCATACTGTGAAACATTCCAGCCAAAGCAATAACACCTCCACAAGAAAAGCATTTGATGGACTCTCCACCAGAAAAGTTACACAATGCACCTTTAAGTATTCAAATTATGCAACTATATTGAATAGACAAACATTATTAAACATGACATGCAAATTTTTAGTTTATCTGAATCCAATCTATTTCAATTTGGATGAAGATTTGACCAGATGTATTTTTCGTTTGAAAGTTTTACTGTTTGTTTTATAATGAACACAAATGAAAACAACAAAAACAGTTAAAAAATTAAAAACACTTGCACAGTTAGGCAATTTCAAACATCTACAAATAAACTGTCATCTAACTCTGCTCACTCACCCCCTTTTACCCCCTTGATTTGTTTGGCCAGTTAGTAATATTTTAATTTTACAAAATGTAGAGCAATAAAGTAATTTTTTTCAACAAGACAACCATGTTTCTTACACAGAATCAGACATGTGTTTTTATTTTGTCTAAATGAACTAATATGGCAAAAGAATGTTGTTTATACTGTACTCAGTGGTGGAAGAAGTACTCGATTTTGTTACTTCAGTAAAAGTACAGATACCGGAACAAGAAAATACTCAAGTAAAAGTAAAAATGGTACATGAAAAAATCTACTTAAGTACAAGTATTAAAGTACCAGTTTAAAATGTACATAAAAGAGTAAAAAGTAAAGGTATTTGGGGCCATGTCTACTAAAACTTCCAATGTAGAGTTAAAGATCTGTATGTACATTTTGTTCAACAAGCAAAATTGAATCAATTGTTTTTTTCAAGCTGTTTTTATTTGTATATTTTTCTTTATTCAGACTATGAATGTGTTAAAAATACTTTTACTTTTCAGTCCTGTTCAAAAATGTAGTGAAGTAGAAAGTACTAATACCTGCTCTCAAATGTTGTGAAGTAATAGTAAAGAGTATCCTAAATGTACATAATTAAAGTACACATACTTTTACTTTAATACAGTACACTACTACTTTTACTTCATTACATTCCACCACTGCTTATATTTACCTGACCCTGTGAAATCTTGTTGTCCTTCAGGCCGCACGGGGCAGGCGGTGGCGATCCGGGCCAAGGCGTTTGGCTTCAGTGTGATCTTCTATGACCCGTACCTGCAGGACGGGCTGGAGCGTTCTCTGGGCGTACAGAGGGTCTACACTCTCCAGGACCTGCTGTACCAGAGCGACTGTGTGTCTCTGCACTGCAACCTGAACGAGCACAACCACCACCTCATCAACGACTTCACCATCAAACAGGTGACCACAGCTCCAAGACGTTTGACTTTCACTAACTGTGGGAAGAAACATGGTCATTTTAGGCTTCATTATGATTAAGGCTGAGCAATATTGATAAATGTATAGCTTTTTCTTTACCCCAGGAACAAGTCAGTTCTGGTTGAGTTTCAAATTCTCAAATACAACCAGCAATTCCAGGAACTATAGAACTTGGTATTGTATTGTAGAAATTTCATTTAAAGGTGCACTGCTTAACTTTTCTTGGAGAAGGGTACGCCACTTGCTTGTCTTCATGTAGATGTACTTAACTGTTCAGCCTGGAATGTTTCACCGTACGGCATTAAAGTTATCTGTCTCCATGGAGACAAGCAGGCCAAGATACAGATCAGTTTGTGGAGAGGCAAACCCGTTCACACAAAAATGCGTGTTCTTAAAGGTATTTCTGAACAATAAAATCACCTCTAATGAAACAAAGGCTGAAGAGACTTTTAATGCAAACACAAAACTTACACAATGCACCTTTAAATACTAAAGTTAGTGTTCATTAAAAATTATTTCGTTATTATAGTGTGATAGATGTATTTACCAGTAGTGACCCAGCATCTTATTGAGTTGTTTCAAGGCTCTTTTGTGTTTTCTTTTTAACTTTCTTCTATCTCCATGAGCTAATGCCCTTTATGACTTTTTGAGTGCCTCAGCTTTTTGACTTTTCTGAAATCAGATTGTGATCCCTGAAGAGCACCATAAGGACATCATTATATGTATAAAACCGAATAGCACTCTTGCCTGCTAAAAGTCTGTCTATGAGCATTATCAGATTACATTTTCAATTTTAAAGTGATAATATCTCTGTGGAGACAAGCAAAGGCTTTATTAGAAAAGTTACATAGTGCTTCTTTAAACACTTTAAACAGTACATTAATACTAGTCCAGCCAATGTCAATATTTCCCAAGGCAGTCAACTACAGCCAGTAAACAACATTTCTAAGACACAAAAAATCATCTTTGTGGTATCTGGATGATGAGGAATGTGGAATGCTAATTTAACTGCTAAAATGTTTTTCAGTTTTGTTTTGATTTTGATGCTGTTTGATGCTGCTAAGGTCTTGGAAACTGCCCTCAATCAAATAGTGAAGAATATGAGATATGTTTGTGTTTTTCTTGCTTCAGAGTCCAGTCAGGTTTGCAGTGGCTTTATAAGAGTCCAATGGCACTGACTTGGCAGGGCCCTCGCATTCTTTCACTGTATCCTTCAGTGTTGGATACCATCAGTGCCTTTTAAGTAGCCTTTGATGGAAGCCAAGATGTGGTGAATGTGCACACGCAGAAGAGAAGAAAGCTCCACAACACTAACGTACAGGAACAGTTAATGACAGTTACAGCTTATTGTCAAGGTTGGACGTATGTGTGGATAAAGAACGGTTACTTGTTCTGTGATTCTTGGGCGTTGGCGTCTTGTTTATAGGCGCCATTTTGAGGGCTTTTTGCAGTTTAAAAGATATGACATTTCGATTGAATTCTTAATTGTGATGGACATGTCATTGTTCTTGAAATATTCCACTGTATCACATTAAACAGCTCTACCTAAAATTTATTTAGTTACAGATGATTTTATAGCTCTAAAATACATTGAAAAAAAAGGCATTCTGACTGTGAGCGGGGTCAACCTCTCCACAAATTTGACCTGTAACTTGGTCTGGTTTGTTCTCCATGAAGGTAGAAAGGTTTAATACCATACTGTGAAACATTCCAGACAAAGTGATAACATCTCCATGGAGAAAAGCATTAGACAGACCCTCCACCAGAAAACCAGTACACCTTTGAGGATTATGCAGTAGTGTTGACACAATACTAAAACTTCAAACTTGATTTTCATACTAAGAAGTTGACTCAATAATCCTTGATATTGATTACAATACCAGAATGATCACATTGTGGCAAAGAGATTCCTGGTGGTGTTGTGCAACTTTTTTGTTCTCAATTCATTTGAAAAGGAAGAACGATTAAATCAACATCAAACAAAGTAACACAATGTGCTGGAGTGAGCTGATTTTTATCTTATTTTGACTGGTGCACCAAAGTGATGCTTACCTGAAAATGACATTAAAGATGCACAATGTAACTTTTCTGGTAGAAGGTCCAACACCTTCTTGTCTCAATGGAGATGTTAGTGCTTTGACTGGAGTGCTCCACAGTATGGCATTAAAAGTATTTATCTCTATGAAGACAAGTGACACCACAGGTCAAATCTGTGTAGAGGCAACCCTGCTCACAGTTAGGACGTGTGTTTTTCAAAGCAGTAAAAGCACATATGAATATACTCGAGACAGAAGTTTAAGAAATCATTTTAATGCCTTATTTTGAGCCAAGCAGATGGACTTTAGAGCTTAGTCCTCAATTTGTATTTAAAACTCACTTTGGGTGGGTGTCATATTAGCTGAACATTAGAAACCACTTTGACCCCTCCTCCCCGCGCGTAGCATAATTGCCCGTACTCCACCATCCTCCTCCTCCATTGTGAGGGATCATGATATATGTGAGAACCTTCAAAGCCCCCGACCACACCTATTGTAGATGTGCCAGTAAAGCAGTGAGTGAAGCAGCGGGCGAGGCCAAGAAACGCTACAGTGGGGCCAAGTCATGTGTTGCCAGGGGCTGCGTTGCCTCCGTGCCAGTTAACCAGGCTGCTCGCTCACGGTGTAAGCTTCCTGTGACAGGTCCTCCACACTCCACAGCACCCAGAGTCAAAAGTTCACCGCGCGGCACACACTTTGAAGACTGACTTCCTGGTGGGAGGCTTTCAATCACATCCCTGTGTTACTGCCAAACGTAGCATAGCGCTGCATACAACAGATTGCACGCTGGTAAAATGCATAAAAAAGTATGAAACAAGAAGCTGTAATATGTTTTTCTAATGGTCCTACCAGTATATTATTACACAAAAACATACCTGGAGTTGGTTGTTTTTTGTTTAATTTCCACACGTTTGAATAATCCTGGATTATTAGTCTGTCTACATCTCCAAAAATCTAAATTCTCTATTTTGTTTTGTAATGTCTTATAGTGATGCAGTGGAAGTTTTCAAGTTAACAGCTACCTTTTATCTTTTGTTCAGTAGTTAGTTCTAGTATGGAGTGGAGCACTTCCTGTATTACTACATGACATCATATGGTGAACAGGCTGAGTTCTTCTCTCTAAATGAAAACACCCTAATAAATATACAGGCTTTGTGCGTTAAACATGTGTGAATGAAGCCAAAACACAACTCTAAGTATGTTTTTGATGAGGAACCAACATTATAACAGATCAGAAAACAGCGTAATATGGGCTCTTTAAGTGATGAGTGCGTATCAGCTCTTCCCTCGGGTGTTGTTTTTATAAATGAGTACATGGCGTAGAAATGCATTAGATACAAGTGTGGAATTGGGACAGACTAATATTTTGTGATGGTTAGTGCTGCCATCTCCAGACCACAATATGAACTGCAGGCTGAAATGGCACAAGCTGAATTATTAAAATCTCTAGAGCTCTTCAAATATGTATTCTCAGATATACCCAAGTAATTAGCCCATCAATAATTAAAGTGAGATGTTAAGTGAAGTCGTTACATTGTGAACATGTGTACAGTCGTCTGAAGCTTCAAGGGAAAGATTAATGCTAGTTTGTCACATTAGATTCGACAGCTCATTGTTCCTTTTTGTAATGTTTGAACAGGCCTCCTACACGTTTTGACAGCATCTGTGAATGTAGTTGTTTGTTTATAAGTGCTGTTTGTCTTTCAGATGCGTCAGGGGGCTTTCCTCGTCAATTCAGCCCGAGGGGGTCTGGTGGATGAGAAGGCTCTGGCTCAGGCCCTGAAAGAAGGACGGATACGCGGAGCTGCTTTGGACGTGCACGAGTCAGAGCCCTTCAGGTGAGTTACAGCAGATAGTCTCAAACTCTCTCTCTGTGCTTTGAGTTTACTGAACCCACTTTAAAGGTGCATTATGTAACTTTTTGGTTGGGACTACGTCACCTGCTTGTTTCTCTTCTGCTTCAAATTTTCCACAGTATAACATTAAACAGATCTGCCTTACACTTATTCAATTGCAGGTGGTTTTATAGCTCAAAAAATACCTAGAAAAACAGGCACTGTGACTGTGAGTGGGGTCGCTTCTCCACAGATCTGACCTGTAACTTGGTCTGGTTTGGTCTCCATGAAGATAGAAAGCTTTAATGCCACACTGTGAATTCCAGACAAAGTAATAACATCTACATGAAGAAAAGCATTTGACAGACCTTCCACCAGAAAAGTTACACAGTGCACCTTTAAATGTCCTATATCACGCTATTTTGGGATTTATGTTACAATTTTTCCTCAGCCGAGTTGTGTTTTGTTTCATTCACACATGTTTGAGTAACCCTTTATTATTAGTTTGTCTACATCTCCAAAGCTCAAAATGCTCTGTTCCACCTTGTGATGTCATGTAGTGGTAGTTTTCAAGTTAACGGTGACCTTTTACCTTTTGCTCAGTAGTGATTGGCAATTCCAGAGCTGAAATCATCCAAATGATTCTAGTGAAGGTGTATTAAGTTTAAAAATACAGTGGAGCACTTCCTGTATTACCACATGACGTCACAAGGTGAACTGAATGTTATCTGTTTGAGAGAAGAACTCAGCCTAAATATGCAGGGATTGTGTGTTAGGACGATGTGTGAATGAAACAAAACCCAACTCCAGGTATGTTTGTGACAAGGAAACAACATTATAACACAGATTAGTTAATAGCATAATATGAGCTCTTTAAATGAATTAAGAAGTTTGGAGAGGATGCAGAGGGCAGCAAGAGCTGGAGGTGGAGGAGTAACCAAAGACCAAAGCCAAAGCCGAGCATATTTTAATGTAAAGATGTGTTAATAGGAATAATATCACAAGTTAAGTGCTATGCCTGGCTGCTAATAGAGTCAGCTAAAGCAGTTGCATATTGCGTACAGCACACACTCCATTCTGAATGAGCTGTGCAAAGGGCTCACATGCTAACACCCATTTAACGCATGTATTTAACAATTATGTAAATATGTTTGTTTTCCTCTTTGTGTTTGTTCAGTTTTTCCCAAGGCGCTCTTAAAGACGCCCCTAACCTGATCTGCACTCCGCACACAGCCTGGTACAGTGAACAGGCCTCACTGGAGATGAGAGAGGCCGCAGCTACAGAGATCCGCCGGGCCATCACAGGTGAGTCTCACCTCTGCAGAGGACAGCTGTGCTCAGGCTGGACAGCAGGGGGCAGCAGAGTGTGCACACCTTGGTAGAGCAAACGCTTCATTTCAGTATGATCTTATAAACTATAAACTACTCATCCAGGTCAATTCTAATGGTGCGTACTGCTGTTGTGTAATGATGTGAGTGTATGATTGGCAGTGGCCTGTGAAGCCATAGGACTGAAAAGCCATGTTTTTGTCAGACTGCCCCGGGGCAACTGTGGCCCCCTATGTAATTAAATAGGTGTGGAGTGCACATATAGGACGAACACTGAACATGTGTGTATATCATTAATGCTTCTCTCTTTATTTGAGATGGTCTCTGTTAAATGACATTATTACAGTTAGTCCATGCTAAAAGTTCACCGCTTGTGCTACAGGCCGCATTCCTGACAGTCTGCGAAACTGCGTCAACAAGGAGTTCTTTGTGACCACGGCCCCCTGGGGAATGATGGAGCAGCCGCCACCTCAGGTCCACCCAGAGATCAACGGCGCCGCCTACAGGTCGGTGCTGTTTAGGACAGCTGTGTGTCTCACTGGTGCTCACTGTTAAAGGGAGAGGGTAGACTCATGATTGTCACAATATTCAGAATGATGGAGCCCTGAGTCTAATGACGTGATCCCATTCTCACACTGTATACCCCCCTGCTTCTCTCACACAGCCGAGTCAACCAAACCATGGTACAGACCATAGCAACCGGGGGAATGCAGGACAAATTATATACCTAAATCTCAACCAGGTAAATAAAAACTGCTGGACCTCCGTAACAGAAGTAACACCCATCCAAACCACTGTACCTCACCTGTAGTGACCCTAGTGACTGCCCGAGTGTGATGTGTCCTGCCCCCACAGCCTACACACTACCATACCCTTTATCGTGTAGATTGGCTATAGACAAATCTATTGTTCCATTGTGAATCCTAAACAATGTAAACGCATTTGCAGACTATACACAGCATAGATGAAACCCACCAGATTAAAGTTGTCCCTTATCTTTTAAACAAGGCAATAACTGACAAATATGTACTGAGTTATGACTTCATGACCTTTCTGGCAAAGTATTTTATTCAATGATATAATAGACATGAGTCTGGACTAATTAAGTTTTACTAGACACTAACTTGGTGGTATCATAGCTTCAGCAATCTTCCAGAAACATCACATTTAAAAATCCTTTAAATTAACCAAACCATTACATTCTTCCCATGCTACTTTTTAGTTAAAACGCCCTCACAGAGCATCTCTTAACTAACTTGTCCAACATTGGTCTTAGTGAACAAACTTGTAGCAGGCGTAAACATCATATCTAATCTCCCATGTCATTACAGGTTCCCCCCTGGCGTGATGGGCGTGGCCCCTGGTGGTATCCCCGGTCCTATGGAGGGCCTGGTGCCGGGGGGAGTGCCCATCAGTGCTCACCCTTTACCCCCCGGCCCTCACCCGTCCCAGGCCCCCTCCCCCCACCAGCCCTCCAAACACGGAGACCCCATGAGAGAGCACATGACTGAGCCGTGAGCCGGGGGCAGTGATTAGGGCCTGGAAGCTTTCAACAGTAACATTTCCAAAAAGAACATCGCCACCATCTTGAAGTGACCAGCAGACGCCAGAGAGTGAGGACAGTGGTGCTGGACTGCCGCACTTAGACAAGGACTGGCCAACAACTCTCTGTTTTTCCATTTATTTAGCTTTCCTTTCCGTGGATGTTTTGATGGAGGTTCTTGGGACATACATGCAAGACCAAACTCCAGTTTCAAAGACAATTCCTCTTCCACCCTTCTCTTCCATGTCTCGTTTTTTTACATTCTATTGTTTATGTTAAGTGAATTATATCTGTCTTTGTTTTTCAGTGTATGAAAATTAATGAAATCTTAAGTTTTGCGTACAAGAACAGTCAGAAAATTTCAGAAAACACTTAGTAGCTGGAGTCCCCTGAATGTAGAGACGCTTAAAGGGGAAATCAAAACCGCTTGCCCCCCCAATACAAAATCCAAGTTAAAATTTTTGCTATTTAAATTTTCTCCCAAAATGGTCTTACCGACTTTCCAACCACAAAAAAATTCTCAGGAAAAAAATAAGATGTGGCTCCCGTTTCTTGCAAAAATTCTTAATGTCATCTCCTTTCCTCATTGTGGTATTTTTTTATATATCAACTGTGCGTTTTTTGATGTTTGAGGTTTTCGCTCCTTAGATTTGTATTGCCTTGTTAAATGTTCTTATAATCATAGTCTTACGTGAGGCGCCCTTCTCCTTCTTAGGTTCCTTCTTTGTTTTCTGCTCTAATTGAATCCAGCCACGGCTCCAGCCCCAAAATGGCCGCCGTGGCAGTACACAGTAACATCCCTTTAGCTCCGAGATGTTAGCGAGAGAAGGCTGCTAGCAGATTGTTTGGTTTTTAGTGTGAGTGTTCGTATTTGTTTCTTGTACAAGGTGAACATATAGCATACAGTGCAGCTGGAAACAATGAATAAAACATACTGTTCTGATGATCATTAAGCTCTCTCCTTTGTGGAATGTTTTCACTGGTTTTATATTTGACGCCGTCTGCGGATAATCTCTGGCTCTCGATTATCGCAAGCCAAACAAAGAGAATGTCTGCGATTTTGATCTCACCCGGGTTACAGTTTTAAAATGGAGTGGTTTTATCTCATTTTTAAATATTTGTGTATATCAGTGTGCAGTACAGTCAAACAGTAATGACTTAAATATAAGAGGGGAAGATTAAGATATGTAAAGGAAGCAGGCAATCTGTTTAGCAGTAGCACTTACGAATGAGTTAGTGCACTGAAGGGAGTACAGAATGGCTTAATGCGTGCCATCTGGTGAATTCAAAAGTTGTGTACCCTATAGCACGCATTTTGGGGTAGCTTGTGGAAAAATTTATCTAGCTTTCAGAGTAAGCAACATCGCCTTTAAATAGGTCTGTTGTTTTTTGTTCTGTTTTGATTTTTTACTGCCAGCATGAACTAGATAATAAACTAAAGTGAAATGTTTGGTTAAGAGGTCCTCTATTACGCAATATTGACTCTTGTGAGCTTTTAGCCATGTTAGAATGTTGTTACCTCCTCAGAAACATACCAAGAGCTGTGTTTTGCTTTGTTCATATGTTTAAGTAACCCTTTATTATTTGTCTGTCTACATCTCCAAAGCTCAAAATGATCTGTTCCACATTGTGATGTCATGTAGCGGTAGTTTTCAAATTAACAGCTCCTTTTACCTTTAGTTCAGTAGGGATTAGCAATTCCAGTGCTAAAATAATCAAAGTTATTCTAGTAAATGTTTATGGATTTTAAAAACACAGTGGAGCACCTATATTACCACATGATATCACAAGGTGACAAAACAGAGTGTTTTCTGAGTGTTTGAGAAAAGAACTCAGCTGTTTGTTTAACGTGTGTGAATGAAACAAAACACAACTCTGGGTATGTTTTTGATGAGGAAATGGCACTATAACATAGATCAGAAAGTATGTAATATGTAATATGGGCCCTTGAAGTGAAAGTACTCCTATCTGCAGTTGCACTACATAGTTTGTGCTTGTTATAATGGACTACATAAAGTGCCCTCTTCAAACACATCTCTCAGCAAGCAATACAATTTGCATTTCAACTGCCAAAACAACTCAAGGGTCTGTCCTTAAGTGGCCCATAGTGTAGCCTATAGTGTAGCCTATAGTGTTTACTAGATACAGATAGCCTGCTCTAGGATGACGGGCCTAGCTGGTGCATGTGAGGGTACAAGCCACAATATGCAGTGCTTTGCTGATCATAAACGTCAGTGGAGTCAACAACAGGTATAGATAAAAGAGAACAGATCAGACTGAGAACAAGGTCAGAGTAATGTACAAAAACATGGATTTTCTTTTATTTCAAAAGCCACTCTACATCATCCAAAAAAAATTGTTAAATTAAGTAAATCATTGTCTTTGGTCCAATTAATGATACATTTTAACTTTTTCTTGATGGATCACATAATAATGGTCATTATGTTGTTTGAACACAGCAGTTATTTTAATTTTGTTTGTTACTTAAACTGTATTCATGAAAAGTAATGAAAGCTAATAGTTATTGTTGAAAGATTAGTGCTGTTAATATGAAAGTGCTATTGACTCAATAATCAAGCAGCTTTTAATGTTATGCAACTATGCACCACTAGAGGGGGCTGAAAGTGCCACTGGAGCTTCAGGTAGAACATAGGCCTGCTGTACTTGTCTCATTTAGGCTATTAAAAGAATGAGCTTGAAATGAGTCAGTGACAGAAAATGTCAAAGCAAAACAGGAGACATTTTAGTTGGACATTCAAAAAGGTTTTCCTTTATTTTTTTCCTTGTTTTGCCTGTTCTTTGCGTTACACTCTTATAGTGAAGTCAGGCCTAAATCCACAAACCATCATAGTCATAACTGCAACTATTGCATAAATACAAAGCAACATACAGGTGCTCCGAACATGTATGACTCGGATCAACACAAGAGGTTACAGTACACAATGGCAAGAAAACAAATGCAAACATTCACGGCAAAAAGAAAAGTAACACAATTTTTTTCTTTTTTGTCACTTTGGTTTTTACGTTGCGGTCTATTACAACGGCTTCTTCGAAAAACATAAAGATGGCTGCACGTAAAGACAAGAAACAGGCGCATACAAGGAAGTGAACGGACGTGTACCATAACAGAGGAAAGAGACTGAGGATTAAGCAGATTCGAAATAACGGACATTTAATGTATTTCTCACTCCCATTCGCCTGCCCAAAAAATAAAGCACCAGATTTTTAGGCAATCCACTTGAGGTACTGCAACAACGAAAGTAAACTTCTAACTGATGGTCACGTTATTTTGCGTTCCTCACAGCAACAATGTTTCTGTGCAACTTAATGTCTTCATTGAGATTTGAGAGAATAAAATAATAACTAAACCACAAAAGGAAAAAAAAAGATACAGGAAAATCAAACTTATTAGCTGAAACAATAAATATATGTAGATTAAAGTTGAACCCACACACAGTTCAGAATGGTTGTGTGCTAATCCTTGGTGAGAGTAGCTTGTAAAGGGAACAACCTCCCTTTTATATGACCTTAAATTCAAGCAACAATATTTATATAGAAATGTTTTTAATAAATGTGCAGTGCTTATTAATATGGATTAAAGTCATTTATTATTATCATTACTATTACTATACACATCTGTTTCTTTAAGTGGGCATCCTGAGCCACACGTAGTGATATTGGCTTTGTCCCTGCCCGCCCCAAAGAAGAAAAACTTTTTACAAACATCAAAATTTGGAAGTGTGCTTTAGTCAGTGCCCGTGTTATAAAGAGTTCAATCAATGCTGGTATAATAATTCCTTATACTTTTTTATTTATACAACCACATGCATTAACATCTATAGATAGAGATTTCCTTTTCCCGTTACATTTGTAGGTCATTTGTAAACTCGTTCTTTAGTTTCTTCTTGTCAGTCTTGTGGTAAAGTGTTTTGAGGAAAAAAAAATAGCAAAGTCCTCTGTCGAGAAGTGAGGCTTTCACAGTTTGCCCGTGTCGGGGAAAGCAAAAACTTAACGTTGGAACTGAAACTAGAAAAGGTCAGGGAGGTCTGTTTTTGTGAGTTTTGTAGTGTCTCCCCTCTCTTTACTCTTCGTCACTCATCGTCGTCATCCTCCTCTTCCTCTCCGTCGGATAGAGAGGCACAGGGTCGTATCTGCCTGTACCCGTCCAGCCACTTCTCCACCATTTGAGTGACCAGGGGGTGGTTTCTGCGGCGTGAGCTCTTCTGGAGAGCCACCAGGACCCCCCCTTCTGTCACGCAGCAGTCCAGCCACTCCCTCAGCAGCTTCTCCTGTTGCTCTTCATTACCCATCTGCACAACAACACACGCATTATATCAGGACTGTGTGTTAAAGCTCCTGCAAAATGGACTATTGTGAGCTTTAAAGGTGCTCTTTGTAACTTTTCGGTTAGGGGTCCGTCACCTTCTTCTATGGAGATGTCATTGCTCTGCTTGGAATGATCCACAGTATGACATTAAACAGCTCTACCTTACATTTACTCAATCAAAGAAAGTTTTATAGCTCAAAAATACCTAGGAAAACAAGTATTCAGACTGTGAGTGGGGTTGCCTCTCCGCAGATCTGACCTGTAACTTGGTCCAGTTCGGGCTCCATGATGATAGAAAAGTTTAATGTCATACTGTGAAACATTCCAAACGAAGGATCTCCATGGAGAAAAGCATCTGACAGACCCTCCCCCAGAAAAGTTATAATGTTGTTACCTTCTCAAAAACAAACCCAGAGTTGTGTTTGGTTTCATTCACGCATGTCTGAGTAACCCTTTATTATTAGTTTGTCTACATCTCCAAAGCTCAAAATGCTCTGTTCCACCTTGTGATGTCATGAGCGGTAGTTTTCAAATGAACAGCTACTTTTGCCTGTAGTTCGGTAGAGATTGCCAATTCTGAAATCATCCAAATGATTCTAGTTAAGGTGTATGGAGTTGAAAAACAGTGGAGCATTTCCTGTGTTACCACATGACATCATAAGGTGGAACAGACTGTTTTCTGTTTGAGAGAAGCCTAATTATGCAGGGTTTGTGTGTTAAACATAAGTGAATGAAACCAAACACAACTCTGTATGTTTGTGATGAGGAAACATTATAATGGAGAACAGAAAATAGCGCAATAGCGTGAGTCCTTTAATGACACAATGATACAAAAAGGTATAAACACGCTGAAATTGTGAGGGCTTATTTCCATTTGTTGTTTTGCATTCACTCACTAATATGCGCTCATTCACACAGGCATGTTGGATTTCTGTGCTTCCTAAGGACTTTACATAGACTTTCTTTCATTGAGAGACTGATTCTAACTTTAACCATAGACCCAATTTATGGAGAACAGATTGTGACAGTATTAAATATGTAATAAAATACATTCACACACTTAAATTATTCCATAAATAATGTAATCAATTAATGTAATAATTAATTTGTTACTTATTCAATTAGTTCATTGTCCATTTATTTCAAATTTTGTAATCATTTAATGAGTTAATGATTTAATATTCTTGCAATTAGTCCTCCATAAAACTGACCTGACCTGATCTGATCTAATAATAAAAGGGATTACATCATGGGAACCTGAGTGTGTCTACAGATTATAGTTGCCAGTGTAATAAATACCTGCCTACTAGCGTGCATGGACTCTGCTGGAAAGATGTGGGAACTGTCTTGCCCAAGAGCACAACTGCAGTAGGCACAGGCCCAGTAAGAACAACCACCAACCTTGGTTTGGTTTGGTGAGCACCAGCTCTCTCACTGAGCCACAGCTCCAGCGAACAGAATATAGGTTTTTACTGTGTGTTTGACATGGGGGTTAGCAAAACTGCTGAGGTTTTATTCAGGTCTTGTGTGGTGGTTGTTGAAATATTTTATACTAGAAAATTTGACCTAGCCAGTAGGAATAAAATGGGGTAGGATAAATCTGCCATAAACAAAAACAAAACAAAAAAGGTTTCTATTTCTCATGAAAACACAATAATTGATACAGTTACCCCCCCATCTGAAAGTATAACATCCTCACACTCTACGATCTGAAAACAGCCATTGCCCCCAAAACGAGTCTCATCATCTGTAATGTGGCCATTTCAGAGGAAGGCTGTTCTGTGAAATGGAACAGGTTTAATAAACACTGCCTGATGAAGCAAGTGCCTCAAGTGGTACCAACTGGAGGAGCACAAATGAAATTACACATGGCTCTCACGTAATGGAGAATGACGGAAAACTGCACATAAGCATTATATTTGTATTATTTGATTTCTACAATGAATTATCAGAAGGGTTCACACCAATTCAACAGTCAGTACTGCTTTGAATTGTATAAAAAAATCTGTAAATCTAGCTTGGTACAGTCATGTTGAGAACTCAGAAATGTTAGTATTAAATCTGATGCCAGTGCAGCCGTTTGCCAGAGATCTTCTTACATAAAATAAAAGATATTTAATTCCAGGATGCACCGTGGGCTGGCTACAGCCTATTAGTCTACACTCAGGAGGATTTTAGCAGAGGCAAAACAAGGGAAGTGGGTAAACATAGCAGAATTTCACTTCTAAATTTAACTTTTATTCGAGACAATTAAATGGTCTCAATAAACAGAAATGAGGAGAATTGCTTTCAGAACCCAGACCAAATCCAGACAAATGACCCCTTAGTGTGACTTACTTCCTGCGCAGAGAGGAAGTGGATGTGCAGCAGCTTCCTCTCACTGTCCACCAGCGGCAGAAAGGTGACCGTCACGTCATCGTCTGTATTGAGGTTGGCGCCCGCGCCTCGATTGTCAAAGCCGTCATTCTCCATGGCGACCAGAGCCGAGAAGTGGCCGCGTGTGTAGCCCAGTGCGATGGGGCTCTTCCAGCAGAAACTCTGCTCCCATAAAAGGGGCAAGTACACACCTGCAACAAGAGGCAGCCTCTGGGTGAGAAGGTCCTGCATTTCAAAGCATTTTATTTGTAGTTTAATTATACAGCTGAAAATCTTTGTTTTGATGATTATGAAAAAATATGGAGCAAAATATTGATTGACACTGAAGTATGCAACCACATTGAGAGAGACCTTACAAAAATATGAATACAAATGTTTTTTACCTACTGATTTATTAAAAAGGGGCCAATATATTATACACCCTCTGATAACTGTCCTAGTCTGTTTTTCAAAACTGCTTTAGTGGCTATGCACTCCTCAGGTGTGGATATAATCTGGCAACATAACCATGTCAATTTTGAGGAAGGAAAAATACTGGAGGCACTGTAAGGAGCTTGTAGAAACTAAATTCTTCTGTGCATAAAATAACTGAATTCAAGTTAACAAAGCTTGTTGCTAGTTTAGTCCATATGTTCCTTGCGTGGCCACAGCCTATAAAGACAGAAACAGACACCAGTTTTTTACCCTGGCCTACAAAGAGAGATTAAAGACAGTGGGAGAGCTCTTGTATCTCATTTCAGGGGTAGACAATGAACAAAGCTGATAGCAGATAAAAGCAGTGTAACACACACCGCACTGAGCTGTCCCAGTAACCATTGTGCATGTCCGCCTTCACCTGCTCACCTCTCCGCGCTGTGGCCTCTACACTACACATTTACATCAGCGCCCTGGCTAATGTTTTGCATCTGGGCCCTTGGCAACATTAACCGCTCTGCTCGTCCATCACGCGGCCCTGCCCCACTCCCGAACGCTGAATTAAAACCAGACTGTTTTTACTGCTGCTCATAAAGGGCCACTGTTCTCAGACTTGTCCTATTGGCTGGATTTGAGTTTCTGTACGTTTACATGGCACTCTATACATCATAGATAGAGCAGAGTGGTGTTTTCGTATCTCTAGAATGACCACATTAGGCTAATACATGCTGCAAATACCAATTAAAGACACTTCACAGAGGCAGTTATGTCAGCTATGTGAGCTATGCAGACACATGTAGGCTGCGGACATTTTTCACAAAGAAAGTGCCGTTTTTCTTGGCAGTAAAACCCAAACAGCACTACATAGCACAGCTCTTCTAGTGGAGTGAATATGTCTACATCTACATGAAAGAAATCATATGCTTTTAGTTATGTTATAATGGTGATAATTTTAAGTAATCCTGTAATGTCATGCAGTTGAGGGTTTTTCACTGTTTTCACCTACCACCTATCCCCACCCTCTGCTCTGTAACTGCTTGTGATTACTCAAAACATTGTCAGGTAAAAAAAATGTCAGATATTTCAATAATACAAACATAAAGGACAATCTGTTGCATGTTACATTGAAATAGCACTGTAAAAAGGAGGGGAAAATAAGTTCTGTGGTTTTGAACAAGAAGTCAAAGGACCCTTTCCTTTTGTATTGTTAAGCAATTTTAAATCAATATTGCAGTTAACAATGAACAAAACGTAAAAAAATGACCTATGCATGTTTTGATTTAAGGTCCTATATTACACAATCATCATAAGCATACCTGGAGTTGTGTTTTGTTTCATTCACACATGTTTGAGTAATCTTTTATTATTAGTCTGTCTACATTCTTAAAGCTCAAAATGCTCTATTCCACCTTGTGATGTTAGGAAGTGGTAGTTTTCAAGTAGAGATCGACAATTCCAGGGTTTAAATTATCCAAATGACCCTAGTGAAGATGTATGAAATTTGAAAAGATAGTGGACCACTTCTTGTATTACGACATGACATCACAAGGTGGAACTAAGTGTTTTCTGTTTAAGAGAAGAACGCAGCCTAAATATGCAGGGTTTGCGTGTTAAATATGTGTGAATGAAACATAACGTTTCTGATGAGAAAACAATATTATAACATACATCAGAAAACAACATAAAATGGGCCCCTTTAATACTTAATACCAGAAAAAAAAGAAAATTTATCTCCAAATTAAACCTACCTTGAAAACGGGTGTACCCCAGTGTTTCACCACGGAAACTTTTGTAATACTTCACTCCATAGACGATTATGGGCCTACGAAGTATATGTGCAAGAACAAAAATGTGGGTCTGCTCCAAACTGGACCCAGGCTGCAGGGAGACAAAAGACAAAAGAAACAACATTAAACTTGCAAAACTGCATGGAAGAGGTTCCAAAAGGTCTCATACTACAGAATTTTCTGATTTATGTAATCATATGTTTAACATAAAACCCCTGCATGTTTAGGCTGAGTTCTTCTCTCCAACAGAAAACACTTTGTTCCACCTTATGATGTTATGTGTTAATACAAGAAGTGCTCCACACATCACTAGAATCATTTTGATAATTTTAGGATAATTTCTGGATTTGCCTATTTCTACTAAACTAAAAGATAAATGGTAGCTGTTACTAGCTGTAACTTGAAAACAATCACCTCATGACATCACAAGGTGGAAAAGAGCATTTTGAGCTTTGGAGATGTAGACAGACTAATAATAAAGTGTTACTCAAACACATGTGAACGAAACAAAGCATAACTCCGGGTATGTTTTTGATGAGGTAACAACATTCTAACATGACTTAAACCTCATAAGAATCAGTGTTGTGTAATATAGGACCTTTAAACTTCAAATGCATTTCCATGTTCCGCTTTGATACTGTACAACAACATCCCACCCGAATAGTTGCTCCGTGAGGTCACATATTGTGCAGAGAAGTGCTGATGACACACAGGATGCACTTAAAAGGGCAGGACACATTAAGTATGCAGCAGTGAAAGCATTAGGCCTTTCAAGTCTTACATCTTACACTGTCACATTTGCGGCTTAGAGCTCTGTGGCAGTTTTGTAGTTTTAGGCCTGGTATGATAACACATTTTAAAGTTTGATATATTGCTGTATATATAATTGATAATACTGAAACTAATTTATGCCACAAATTAGCAGATTTAAAACCACAAAAACTATTCTAAATCTACAATATTGTTTAAAAAAAAAAAAAAAAAGAATGTTTCACAACATGGTATTAAACCTTTCTATCTTCATGGAGACCAAACCAGGTTACAGGACAGATCTGTGGGGAGGCAGTCCCGCTCATGGTCAGAATGCCTGTTTTTCTAGATATTTTTGAGCAGTAAAACCACCTGTAATTGAAGAAATGGGAGGTAGAGCTGTTTAATGTCATATTGTGGAACATTCAAAACAGAGCCATATCCATAGAAACAAGAAGGCGAGGGACCCCCAACCAAAAAGTTACACAGTGTACCGTTAAGTACTTTTAGTAGTTTATTTACTTATAATTTAGCCAAAAACCACAAATTTCCCAGTAGTGCAAAGGAAATGTACACATGATAAATCCTGACCCCCCAAAAATATTATTCCAGCTTTTATATATTGAACAATAAGTTGATATAGTAATTATTGAGAGGCCTTTACCTACTTAAGGCATTTTTAGCTGAGTTTTGATATTCTTTGGTACAGGCAAACATACAAGCTGGTTCCGGGTTCACATAACAATGCCATCTGCCCCCTGGTGTGAATTGATCTGTATTAAGTGGCATTGACTTCTCCAAAATTAAATTGGCTTGTGACCCTTTGTTGTCGACTATGTTTGTACAAAAAGGACATTATTCACTGCACAGATGGCACTTGGCAGGTTCATTAATAGAAAAAGTTGTGTTTTGTTTGTTTCTCATTTTCCCTGATAACCTTTTAACAACATAGCAACATGGAATTTATTTGTGAACAAAGCAGAATGTCCTTTTCCAGCTGGGGCAAACAAGAGCTACTTAGTTCCACTTGCAAATTGTTGCATCATGTTTTTGTACAGCTTAATAAATAATAACTATTACTAATGGATTAGAATCGCTGGCTTTAGAAATGGTGACTTAGTTGTACCGTTACATGAACTTTTACATTTTTTATGTTTAATGTGGTGCCAAGTTGTGGTTATTTTTAATTTTTTTTTAACTGTATCTACTGGAGGCTGCAGGACACAGAAAAGGGATATTTTTCTCAGAGGACTGTTCCTCTCCTCAAACTGCCCTGATACAGATTTGACCCATCCTGACCAGTCCTCCTGTTAAACTGCACTGAGACCTTTGGCTGAGACACAAAGGTGACTGAAAAGCACTGTATGCTTCTGCAGCTAAACATGAATTTCCCTCGGGATCAATAAAGTATCTCTTTCTTCTCTGTTTCTCTCTCTAAAAATGTCTAAACAATTCATCTGTTAAAAGAGTCCATACCTGACTGGCTAGAGACAGGATGAAAGCCCAGTCTTCCTGCCACTGCTCCTCTCTGAGTGAGAAGTGCAGACCGAAGCTCTGGGAGTACCACGACTCCCACTCCTTCCAGCGTGTGTAGAACCTGCACAAAAACACATTTAGAACTGTGGGAGTATGGTTCATCTGCCCCCTGTCGCTCCTGTGGTTTAGGCAGGATGGCAATTAAATCCCATTACTTCTAAATAGTGATTTTCTCATTGAAGAACACACAATTTCAAACTAAAACATGAGTCAAACAAAGCTGACGTGCTGTCATTCCCAGGAGTTTCCCAATTTAATAATATGGCTACTGTACTCTCAGGGTAAGCATTTCATCACACACTTTTTGATTTCACGGTTCATTAAATGCTGAGATGGAAATAAGTGCATGTTCTGTGGGTGCCTTCATGTGGTGTATGGGTGGGGTTGGACTGTGATGAAGCAGTGTGGGGCTGACCAGTGGGAGCAGTCGTGCAGGCTGTCATGCAGGGTCTTCCTCAGGACTGAGTCTTTGTCGTAGATGCCCCATGTGGCCTGAAGCACAGAGTCCAGCAGACAGTCCCCAGCCGTGCGGTTCCATAGAGCATACAGGCGACTGTCCAACCGACTGCCCAGCTCCAGAGACCAGTTTATGATGGGAGCTTCTTCTTCAAGTTCTAAAGAGAGAAGTCAGTGAACACTTAATAGCATTCATTTTTAAGTTTTATGCAGGGTAACAAAATATGAGCATTAGTAAAACCAGAGAGCTTATTGGAGTAAGGTTTCACATGCCTATGTAGAGCCAGAGCCATGTTATAACAAGCAATGTCAGCTCTTCGGACGGATACAGACTACCCATACATGTGTGAGTGCAGCAACTTTAATGACAATAAATGCTCACTGCTGGTTCTTGCATTTGAGCCACTGTGAGAACAAGTGCGCTTTCTGTTTCATTTGAATACATTTTAAGAAATGTCACAGTCTGTGTATCTTAAAAGAGGATGTTGTCAGTTAAAAGAAAGAGAAACTTTTAGTTTGACGCGCCCGGCCTCACTGAATACATGATTTATCTTTTATATTTAGATGCTAAGATGCCATTGTGTATTTATACTAATACTATCTTTCATTTTTCATTGAGCAGGTTTGACAAAACAAAAACATTTGACGACCTTAAATATTGTAAGTGTGTGATGTAGCATTGATGTGAAAATGTGACAGTAGATGCTTAGAAGTGAACTCAAATCATTGTGTGTGGATCTAATGAATCCTAAAACTCAATTAGGCTGATTAGAGCAGAGGCGAAGTAGTGCAGGAGATAAAGAGGGCCTGGGCCTGGCACACTGACAAGTCCAGAGGAGAACTGTGCAGGCTCTAAATACGAGTAACACAACACTGCCAGCACTGGGCTCAGGTCCCATTAGAGTAGATACGCTGGAGGTTTGCTTATATAACCACTGTTTAAGAAGTTACATTAGTAAATGGATGTGTTTGTTTTGCCTGTTTCTGTTTTGGACCACTCAGAAAGAATCTGAAGACTTAAAGGAGACATATCATGCAGCGTCAAAGCTTTGAACCATATTATAACTGTTTTCCCTTTTCATTTACACACTCAAAGTTGTATTCAGTTGTTCACTTATTTTTAGTAATCTTTATTCTTCTGCATTTTAAAAAAGATTACAACTACAGTATGTATAACAGACAGAAGCATGATATGCATTTTTAATTAATCTAAGTGTTACAAATGCTTCAGGTGTGACTTTCCTGGCTCATCTTAAACGTTTACCTTTTTGTACATCTCTGTCTAGCACCTCATCAAACAGTTTCTCCTGAACAGCTGGAGGCAAATCTTCAATATCTGAAAGAGAAAAAACAGTTGCATTATGAACTCATAACCATAAAGTAACAAAAAGGGCAAAGTAGAAATATTCTTCTGTTGTAGTTGTGTTTTTGTTATTCTCACAATAGCCCGTGGCTTTCTGAGCGTGCTCAGAGCTCTTGTCAACAGTAGCTCATTCTTCAGCTAAAATAAATGAATGCATTGACTTTGTGGAACTGAACAGAATGCCTCTGTATAGTGGCCAGATGCCAAGGGCTGCATTGTCCTGAATACTCCACATAACACAAATCCTCAGCTTTAGCCACGAGCAACGCGCAATTATATTCCACAGAATGTAGCTGAGAATAATTCATCTGGTTTGGTCCTGGACAGTTTGTGAGGACATTATTGAGAGAAAGAGCCAGGGGTTGCCTCCGTCTCCTGGCAGTTTCAGACAGACAAATGTAGCATTATGTCCCCGCAGCCTCAGAACAACAGGCAATTTCATACAGCGCCAGTAAACAAAACAAAACAAGCATTCTGTCATGGAGTTGGCAGGCCAGGGGACCAGCCCGGGTGCACCGGGCCACGCAGATGAAGTCCAGAGAGAAAACAACACTACGACTACTTCACTTTGTTTGTTTGTTTGTACGTGATCGGCTTATTGAGTTCATGCACCCCATTATAGTAAACATTATGAGCAATATGTCATCTGGCACCAGGAGTTATACCACTGCAGCACATTTTCAAGTGATTACTTTATCTCATCATTGGTAGTAGTAACAGACTGAGCTCATGTACTGTACTATCAGTGACAGGGTAGGGGATATTTATGAAAACCACTGATAAAATAAGAGCTTTTAGTGATTTCTTAACATGCATAAAATTGTAAAATTATGAACTCTAAATGTTTTAAGTAATTCTTTACATAAATGTAAATAACTAATTAACAGAGTATAAGAAATCTCAATTTTCTCAATACTTCAATAAATATCTATAGGCTAGATGGGCTATAAGCTAAAATACCTAAAACTGTAGGTGACAAACCTACCTGCGGGGAGGGTGAAGGTGACCAGGTCTGTGAGGAAGTAGCAGGTGAAGTCTCCCTTTCGCTGATGCAGAGAAGCAGCCACTTCACGGCGGATCTGCTCCGTCAGCTCCGGACACACCATAGCTGGGATGCACTTAGCTGCCTGTTGGGACACCTGCATGGAAACAACATACAAGAGACATATTCATCAACACAAATACAGAAGGGGATTTGAGTAAATTGATTTGTAAATAAATAAATAAGTGGTACAAAATAGGCTGATAAAGACAATGTAGCATGGATTATACAGGTAAGATTTGAAAGTGTAATATTACAAAATGTGGCATAAGCTATTGGTGCCAGTGCCAAATGTGGACAAATGAGCTCAACAGTGATCACCCACCCCCTGGTTCCAGAAGTAAAGTTACCATTCATTTTTCTCACAGACTTTCTGAAAAAAATAAGTATTAATAGTCTGAAGATTTGCTGAGCAATAATCAGCTATGCAGAAACTAATGAACACAAAACCAATCATTTACGACCACATCATGGATATGAGTTACCATGTAGCTTTTTAGCCTCTGCAATGTCTTGGAACCATTCATATTTCAAATTTTAATATTTGAAGTCAATGGGAAAAGTGAATGGAAACGTACTTTGGGAACCAGAGCAGACAGTCACTACTGAGCTCCACAGAGGAAGTGAAAACATCAGGTATTTGAATATTAACTGTCAGTGCAAAGTTCTTTCTCAAATTAAACTAAACTAATTATAGTATTTTCCAGAGGTGTAAAGAGGGAGGGAGGTGAGAGTGAATGGCACTAATCATTTTGTGTTGTTGTACCCTCAGGAGAAAGTAGGACAGTGTGGAGAGAGGGAGGAGAGAGAAAGAGAGAAAGAGAGAGGGAGAAGAGAAAAGAGAGAGGGAGGGGAGATAGAGAAGAGGGAGGAAAGAGGGAGGAAAAAGGGAGGAGAGAGGGGGGAGAAAGGGAGGAGAAAGGGAGCATAGAGGGAGGAGCGGGAAGAGAAGTGTGCTCAGATAATCTGGGATCACACACTGACACAGAGAGCTGCAAACAGCCCATAAGCCGCGCGCACAGCACATATCTCTAACTACACATCTAATTATTACAAATGTGTGTTAGTAAAGGATGAAGCACACAGGACATGTAAGTGCAGTATAAGGCAAATTTAAGCAGGCATTTAAATGTTTTGTTATCCACTCGCAGAAGCATACTGATGGCTACACTTGCATTAAAGCTGAGAGTACCTGACTTTTATCTAGTAAAATAGTTGTCAATCATATCGAGTGTTCTGCAAAAGGACACTTTGTGACAGACCACAGTGCACTGTCTGCATCCAATTGTAAAACTTCATCCAAGCTTTCAAATCAGGCATAATATGTAATACCAACCACACCTAAACATATTGAATATATAGCTTAAGAACTTAACTTTTTATGTTACATAACTATGTATGTTTGGTAGGTCCCTATAGGCAACATCAAAAATATATATTTTGTAGTAGAACACAGCTTGGCCCAAATTCAACATTCAAACACATTTAGTTGGTAGATTTTTTTTAAGCGATCAGACTTGTATGGGAGTTCTTCCAGACCCATTTTGACATTGTTATGAAAACATTTGGGTGTGACAGTGGGAACTCTCACAGCTTAAGATGACAGCGAGTAAGAAAAATACAACAATGTCAAAGCTCTGATCTGCACTGTCAAGTCTCCACCACACTGTAGTGAGTTAAATAGATGTTTGAATACAGCTAAGGCTCTCCACATGTGGTCTGGTGTCTACAGACCTCAGTGAGCAGCACGGCCAGCATGTCCTGCCTCTGGAAGCGGATGGCTAAGTGAACCAGCGTGAAGCCGTCATCAAAAGCAGATGGCCGATTCAGGAGGCGAACCTCGTCTGCTGTTAACTGCCGCGCAATGTCTCCTCCTGATGATTTGTAGGCCTCCACAGCTGCCAGGTCGCCCTCCACCACACCTTCAGATGGGAGACACAAAAGCACAACTGTTACAAAAGCTCTCAATCAGACACACACTTCAGCACTAGCGCACTCTTCTTTGGCCCTTTAGCTTTATTTGACAGAACAGTATAGCGTGAAATGGGGTGAAGAGGGGGTGGGACATTCAGCAAATAGTTTGCGCAGAGAGTTATTCTCATGAGACTGAGAGCGGCATAGAGCCTAGTTTATGTGCTGCAGCTTAGACCACTCAACCACCAGAAAGCCCAGGGGAATTTTTTACCAACTTAAAAATCTTAGACAGTTCTGTGTATATTTCAAAGTAAAAAAAATAATGAGAAGTACATCCTTAAGATAAATAATCCTGTCACATTTATTTTAAGTTTAATTTAATATCTCCAAATCTAATGAGAGCTTTAGATAAATGCCCTGATCTTTTACGTTACGAGTTGGAGTGTGGGAATCACTGATACAAAGTGACTTATCTGAAGAACAGCCTTGTGCAGAGAACATTCTGTGCTGAAGTTGATCTATTTAAAATTAGGAAACAGATTTCATCTGAAGTTTGGAATTCAAAATATTCATATTAATGTATTGTATTATGTGTCTAATAATAACATAGTTGTTAGTTGTAGCGTTTCCACAACACCACATTTTATTTTAGTTTTAAATATATTAAATTAATTTTGTTACTAAAGAATAGACTAGATAGTGATTCCACAATACATAATACCCCGATTCAACAATAATAATAGACACCAGAATGTCATTTTCAACATTAAATCATAGTACTTTCTTCAATATTACCATGCGGTCTTATATGAATGCAATTCCTCAGTCCTTCAGGAAGGACCCACAGTGGTTCATGTGCGTATACTAGTCTATGTGGTGTTGTACTGGCTTTAATACAGCTCAAGATCATTTTAAAGCTGTTCGGGAAAGGTTCATTTTTGTCCTGTGACTTTTTTTTTACTATTGATACCTGCTCAAATGAGTATCTAGATTCAAAACTAGTTTTAGCATTGATTAATATCTGATTTGCGATACCTTTGACAACTTTAGTAATTTGTCAGTTAAGGCACACTTTTCACCAATGGCATAAACCAAAACAGTGCTTATATTTACAATCTACAACCTTGATTTTAGAATATTTATTTTCTTTTTAATTGTGAAACGTATATCTTTGGAAGGAGAACAGATTAATTTTTCAGCCTTATTCTACTGTATTCAATTCTCATTTCAACTGTAATAATCACTATTCACTTATATCATAATTTATTCTTGAAATAAACAGGACCATCAGTACTTTGGTATGGCTACTCTAAGACTTGAACTGAGCTTCCCAGTGCGGTCTTGCAGTCTGACGGATCTATGAGCTAATCATGTGGAGCTTTCCAATAGCCCCTGCTGTATGACCACTGTTGCTCTTTTGTCCATGTTTAAAAAGACCACACACAATACGAAGCTACATAATGTCTCTGTACGCGTGTAGAGATGAGTGAGAGGGAGAGAGAGACCGTGTGGGTGGAAGGACGCGCTGTGCCATGTGGGGAGCTGGCTAGCACACAGGCCACTGAGGAGGAGGGAGAGAAAGAAAAGGGGATTGGGGAGGGGTAGATAGAGAAATAAAGAGAGGGCAATAGAGGGAGAGAGAAAGGGAGAGGCAGCTGGAGAGAGAGAGGAGAGAGAGAGGGACAGAGGGAGAGGCAGATAGAGAAGTAGTGAGAGGGCGAGAGAGAGAGGGGGAGGGAAGGGGGAGAGCGAGAGGTAGACAGAGAGAGGGAGAGGCAGATGTAGAAATAGAGACAGGCAGAGAGAAAGGGAGGGAGGGAGAGCGAGAGGGATTACAATGGAAGCGGCAGGGGATCACAAGCTCTCTTCACAAAGCAGTCCATTAGAGTGGGTGTTACAGTGAGCAGCCCTGCAGTCACTACTGTAAACTCGTCCAACATGCAACAGACAAACACCTGAAGATCTACAGAGAGTAACTAAAAGATGAAAGGAAGATATTTCTGATGCATGTTAAAGAGCCAATATTACGTATTTTCTGATCTGTGTTATAATGTTGTTTCCTCATCAAAAACCTACCTGTGTGTACCTTGTTTCATTCACACATTCATGTTTAACACATGAATTACAAATTCTGCATATTTAGGCTGAATTCTTCTCTCAAAACACCTTGTGATGTCATGTGGCAATACAGGAAATGCTCCTTTCTGTTTTTAAACTCCATACACCTTCACTAGAATTATTTGGATAATTTCAGCTCTGAAATTGCCCATTTTGACTGAACTAAAGGTAAAAGCTAGTCGTTAACTTGAAAACTACCACTACATGATATCACAAGGTGGAACAGAGCATTTTGGAGATGCAGACAGACTAATAATAACGAATTAATCAAACATGGGTGAATGAAACAAAACACAACTCTAGATCTGTTTTGATGAGGTAACAACATTATATCACAAAATTGATTCTCATAGGCTTTAAGCAATGATCTAACTTTATAATTGCCCATTAAATAATTGTGCTCAGTGATTATAATTGTATCTGGTCAACCACTACTATACTTTCAGTAATTACAAACTATGAAATGTTTTCATGTCATTCAAATTTGCTTTCTTCAAACTTGCATGAAAATTCTTGGATGCAGCTCCCAAAGAATGTATTTTTATAAAATGACCGAAAAAATTCAAACTGATCAAATGGCCTTTAACCCTGCTCCATGTCAGACCACCCTCTTTTTCCAACTGATGGTAGTTTTGAGCCTAAATTAACTGCTTCACACTCCCACAATTGTTAAAATGTGAAATGCCAGTTTAAAATAGGAAAAGCCCGAACAAAGCATTATGAGAGGCATTAAACATGATCTGCTTGACTGCTTTTGCTTTGAAGAAGTACAATTAACAAAATAAGTAATAATTAACGCCAGCTGGTGAAACAGTTCATTAAATTTAAATCGATTTTTTTTTTGTTGCAAAATTAAAAAGAATCATCAGGCATTGAAATATGAACACTGTGCATTCAATCACAGACCAGTTGTGCGTTTGAATACTTGATGTGCTGTGGACGCTTAGAGGAGGTCTTTGATAATATGTAGCCTATTTGATGGTATGTTGTTTTATATGAGCTCTATTGTTCCATTAAAAGTACATTGTGTAACTTTTCTGGTGGGGCTGCCATCTGTTAAATGGCTTGAGATGTTATTGGTTGACCTGGAATGTTTCTCAACACACCATTAAACTTATCTGACCTGCGTTTATTCACTTACCTTGAAAAAAAGAGGTCATCTCCCCATATCTGACCTGTAACCAGTGGTAGAAGGTAACAAAGTAAAAAAATAAAAGTACAATACTTAAGTAAAGTACAGATATCTAAAATTTGTAGTTCAGTAAATTTTACAGTGGATACTTTTTATTTTTTCACTACATTTGAGAAGGTGTACCTGAACTTTCTACTCAGCTACATTTTAGATTAGGACTGAAAAGTAAAAAGCCCTTATCTTTAAGGTATGAAACCTGCTGAAATGGCCAAGTCTTATTTAATTTATTTAGTTTGAGTTAGCATCCAAACTTTGAGCAAACCAAATACACAAACGCAGCAAGAAAATTTAAGAAATCAATTGAATGAGTTAAAATCTGCAAAATTATTTTTCATCTATTTCATCCTTTAACTGTTCTAAAAAAAAAAAAAACTCAGCAAAATACTTTTACTTTTTACTCTTAAAGTACATTTTTAAACACAACACTTGTTTGTTTACTGTTTACGCAGGTAGTGAATCTTCCACCAGAAAATTACACAAGGCACCTTTAAGATAAACATCTTGCTGATAGGTGACAGATGCAACCATTACAATTCAGATGTGATAGGGAGCTGGGAATGGGGTGTGAAAGAATGGATTGTATCTGATCTGTTATCACCTTATACAGGAGGATAAAAACTTCTCAGGCCAACAGCTCATTGTTTTCTTATAAAGTATTCTTTTTGACATAAAAGTTATCAAAGACCTGTGCAGTCAGCCAATAAATAATTCACTGTAGCTGCGGTACATAAACCACTGTTCTGTGTCTTTAATAATGGGGAGCTACAGAGGCAGAGCTGTCCGTTGGGGGTATTTCTCATCCATGGCAGCCTTAGTTAGCATTCACCTCAGGCACTAGCAATGCAAGTTTGTTTGGAGTTAGCACATTCCTGTTTTCACATACGCTTCCTCTGTCCACGCTGCCGTTTCCTTTCTCATTGTGCAGGCCAGGACACTTTGAAGTATTACGATGCGTTCAAGAGCCGAGCTGGTACTAGTACATTACAGCGCCAGGCTGAGATTCTGCTGATTGCTAACATTGTGCAACCACAACATATAGGGCAAGGCTATGCTGATAATGTCATGCCAACAGGTCAAAGGTCAGCGCTATTCACTTACTACACAATAACAATGACATTATCTGGCCCAGTGAGAACAGTGTTATTTTTAGCCTGCGTTTTGAACATGGAAATGACTTATCTAAGCGGGCTGCTGTTTACAAACACGTGTGTTTATACTGGAGGTCGCAGCAGGGGAAGCAAGGACGCAAAGGCCTGATTTAGCATATGCTGTGTGTGCAACGTTAGCACTAGGCTTAGGATCAGGAAATCCAGTAACAGAATACCAAAACCTGTTTAATGTCAAGATTAGTATGGCTATAGATAGAAAAGTCAGAGTACATACTATATGGAAGCACCGACATCCTAATTTGCATTGTCACTTGTTTACATTTCTTGTCTCAATAAAATGCATAATATACTATAATAACATTAAGAGTAAGCCTTATTACAGTGTTTGTTAGCACCTCCTAACAAGACTGAGAATTTCTCATCAACAGAAACATACATATAATAACCACTGACCTGGTTAGATCACACTTTAAATTTGATTCTGAATCATCGGATTAAATCCACTCTTCACTTCACTTATTAGTTTAGTTTAGTCATTTAGTATTTTCAAAGGATGCTATTCTTTGCTCAGTCTTAAATGTGCTTAGTTTCATAGCAACAGCTGAAACGTTTTATTGCTCTCTATACATTTTACATGTGATTTGATAGTTCCTGGTCTGGCTCCACCATTACCACAAACATATCGACCACTTCATCATTTTGAAAACAGAATGTTGAATATGCTAACTTTTTTCAGTCGTCTGAAAAATGGGACCTCAAGAAAGGGTATCTATCTATTGATTCTTGTCATCATAAACATTATACTACAGCTATTCCTCATGAATTACAACTTCAGTTAGCTCGAGCTACGGCTATGCTGTACTAAAAGGTTACACGCAAGACACAATTTTCACAAGATGAGATAGACTGAGTCAAAGAGAATAAGACAAGATTCTAACTCCTAATATTGTGATTCAGTTTCAAGTTTTTGTCCAAACCAGATGTAACACATGAGGAAAATGATGGTGATAGGATTATTTTTCCCCAAGTGTGCACAATTTTGTGGCAGTTTTATCTCACGAGATCTTGTCCCATCCCTATTATCTTCATAATCTTGCCATGTTAGCTTGTGAATCCAAACATGTCACTTACTTAAGCACTGCGCCATCAACTAAAGAGGAAAAAACAACAACACGTAAACAGCATAAAGCTCATAAGTATACAGCCTATGTTTAAGTGTATAACAGGTTAGACTAGGGGTGTCCAAACTTGCCTGTCACGATAACACATTTTAAAGGATGATAAATTGTTACAGATATCCTGCAATAATCGATAATATTGAAACTATTTTATGACATAAAGCAGGATAACACTATATATATAATTTTTAATAGACAATATCATTAAAAGACATGAGCTGCAGAACAGAATGTACTATTATGATTAATGGTCAATCTTTAGCAATAGAAGAGCTTTTTCAACCTTTTACAGCTCAAATGTAATTGTGCTACAACAAAGATACCCCAAATCTCCCCACTTTTACAAAGAAAATGTACAAAGGATAAATATTGAGCCCCAAAATATATCTGTTCCAGCTTTCAAGTATTGCATGATAAGTCGATATAGTAATTACTGTGACATTGTAATATGGAGCACAGAACAATGAAGGGAATCTATATTTGATATACAGGTTTCAGTGAGCCACCACAGCTTTAAGGCACGGACACTATGTATCGCATCAAAATGTTTGTTTATGGGGTTCTGCACTTCTTTTGGCCATTTGGGCCAATTCAGCAGGAACAACAAAAATGAGTAGGCATTTGAGCCTCGGGCCATAGTTTGGAAACCCCTGGGTTAGACTATTGATGTCACTAAAGCAAAGTTAACATGTAAGAAATAACAAAAAATCCAGGCCTACTTCGTTCATAACTATGACCTAGCAAACATAATGCTTTTTTAAACTTGTCTAAACTTTTATGATGTGTCTAATAAAAATATATGACAACATGTTTATTTTGTTAAATGAATATTTAAACCACCAGAAAAATTCTGAGAAACATGTTGATGATATAGGTAGAGGTATTTTGTTTAATTACGCAAAGCTACTAGAGAGAAACTGTCTCTTGAATGGTGACAAACTATGATAAATATTTATCCACAGGTACCATCACAAAAAACATGAAAATCTGCCACATGCACTTTAACCACTCTGCAATCTACAAAAGAGGACAAAATAACAACACATAGCGCTTTGGTTAAGTTCAGTTCAAAAAGCTTCAGATCATATACTGACATGTCTTGATAATGTGTCCCGGGTGTACAGGTGTAAGCAGTTGCAAAAACAAGGGCCAAAAAGCACAAGATTCAGACACACAAAGCTAACTCTCACCAGCCTCTCTCCTGACCTTCGGACTCAATCATACCCCCAGGAATGTGAAGCGCAAACAGGTCCAGTGATAAACATTTGTCATAATGGTCTGGAGAAAAACTATATTTAAAAAGAATGACAGAAAGGTATAAAGCAGGGCCTGTCAGGTTTGGGTGCTCTATGTGGCATTTCATCATAATTTGAGAGCTATGCAATGACACTCCTACACTGAAAATGTGGAAAATGAGAATGATGGACAATGCTGCATGTGAGAAGATATTAGGGAGGGTTAGGCCTGTCACGATAATTACTATATCGACTTATCTTTCAATATATGAAAGCTGGAACATTATATTCTAGGGCTTAGTATTTATAGTGGGTAGAATTTCATTGCAATAGTAAGGAGATTTTTGTGTGTTTTCATTTTGTTTAATACAATAAGATTTTTAGTTGTAGAAGATGGAATAATTAATTTCTATGGATAATTAATTCTGCTAGTTTTTGAGGCAGATCATGTTTTTTATGACACAGTATATTTAAAGTTTGGTTTAATGGGATTACCCTGCTTTTGTGTCAGTGGCAAGTAGTTTAAATATTATCATTTATTGCAATATACTTTTGTAGCAATATATTGTGCTTAAAAAAATGAAATTGTGACAGGCCAAGGAAGGGTACATGTAAAAAATGAAGTAGAAACTAATCAATTGAAATTAAATTAGTCCTAATATATCAAAATATCAAGATACTAAATTTGGAGATACAGTTTTGTTTTTGTTAGCTGCTGTATCTATATATTGCCGGGAGAATTTTTTTGGGGAAATTTTACAAAACTATTTTGTGACAGTGCTACAATTTTAATGCTTGTTAAAAGAAAGGAAACTTGTTTATGCAATACAATTGACATATCCATTGTTTTAATGGTTACAACTGGTTTATTTCATATTGACACTGCACAAGTGGTGGCTGAAAAAATAAATACTGTTGTTAAATGTATTTGGTACTTAAAAATAGTAATATACTGCAGAATATCATGTGCAATATATTATTGCATTTATCTCCAAATATATATATATATATATATATATATATATATATATATATATATTTCGTACCATATATCAAGTATCGTATCGAATCATGAGGGACCCTGAGATTTCTGGCCGTAGTCTAAATGTGTAATGTTTTCTTTGTTTAAAATTTTTTTTTAAACGAATAAATGTTTATATTATGATGTATGAGTTACTATAATACAGGTATAGCTAAAGAATATACAGCAGTCATGGCCATCAAAAGGTTAATCTGTTATGTGTGGAGTACAAAGCTATGAGTATGAGTGAGCAAAGAGGAGAGTAAGCACTGGCTGGTTCTCCTTATAATATTTATCCTTCTTCCTCCCACTCTGCATGCACCACTCCACAGTGTGGGTGGCTGGACACTTGCTGCTTGAGTTTGAGTGGGGACTTTTTACACTAACTACACAAACTGACAGAGGATTTGAGCACAAGTGGATCTTCTGCATATTGTTATTGCAAAACACATGAGATTAATTAAAATGACAAACTACCTGTTTACAATACTACTAAAAACACAGTAGGTAGGTGTGTATGCAATTTCTTAAAATGGTTTGTTTTGATACTCTGCACTGATTACACAGTGATGTACAAAAGTTCAATATGGGGTCCACTCTCAGCCAAGGTCATATCTGACAACAGTCTGTTGCAGCATGGACAGAACAGAAGCTTTTCTATTTAGAATCATTAATGCTGTCAAACTCTTTATATAAAACAACATACGTGTGTCATTGTAGTTTGATCATAGATACATTTGAGAGATCATACATGAGGACACGGTTGCTCTCTGATGCAGCCAGTTGTCTAATCTCTGATCATCCACTGTGACAAGCACCAAAAAGTAGATTATGACAGCCTGCCCCATGCCCAGCTCCCTGCTCTATGACGACACCTGACTAAAGCAGAAGAGTAAAAGCAAAGAGTAGCAGTTTTATAGATGCACTGTCCCTGTCAGGAGAATTTGACTTTTGTCAAACTCTTGATGGTTTGCCATTTTCCCTCTTTCTAAATCACACTGCGCTTGGTCCCTAATGCATCCACAAACACAACAAATAAAATTCACCTGTGAGTGATCCAAAAGTTGTAAAATAACTATTTAGACACACACGGACATTTAATACATAATTAATAAATCCTAAGAAAAACACTGCTTACATCCCTTCTCAGACTTACCCACACATGCATTGAGGAAAAGCCAGTCAGTCCTTCTCATCCGGTTCTTAATCTGCTTCAGTTTTTTGAAATCCACTTCTAGTTCTTCTTTACTGCTGATGCCAGCCCCAGATGCCAACTCAATTCTCTGGAAGTCCATGTTGACGTCTGCCTCTCGTTTTGATGTGGGGGGTGACCTCCTTTGGCTACTACTGCACCCACCAAGACCTCCCCCAACTCCCCCCAGCCCCTGGCCACCCATGTGCCCGCTCACGCCCCGCCGTTTGTCCCTGTCCTCGTTCAGGATGGAGGAGGGGGACTGGCTCTCAGACTCAGAGGCCAGTTGGATGGGCTCTACCAGCAGGCTGTTGGGCCTGGGGTGGTCACACACCACACACTTCCTTGATTTGGGCCAGTTCTCGTAAGTGCATGCGCTGCAGGACCAGCGCTGTGCGTGCGTGTTGAGTCGGTTACGATCGTTGTACTCCTCACAGGGGTCTGTGGTGGGGGCGGGGGGCGAGGAGCGACAGCCTGAGCCTGAGGTCTGAGGGGATTCTGTGGGGCTGTGCGGCTGCTGGCTGTGCAGTCCTGGGTGGGTGGAGTGCTGTGGATGCTGGTGCTGCCCCTGTTGCCTCTGACACAAACACTGTGTGCAGCGGATGGCACGGGGCCAGTTCAGATACGTGCACATGTGACAGGACCACTTGCTGCTAGGCTCAGGGACGTCGGTGATGCGCACTCTGGGCCTGGCGCTGGAGTCGGGACAGATGAGCAGGCTGGACCCTCCTTGGGTCGGGCTGTTACTGAGCTCTGCTGAGTCCCACTGATGCAAACTGGCATCCAGAGCAGGGCTGCTCTTGAAGGGCTCCTCAGTGATGATGGCCCCCCCACTAGGCCTCTGAGCGCGGCACATGGTGCACTTGATGGCGGACGGCCAGTTCTCGTATGTGCAGTATTCACAGGCCCACTTGGCAGCCAGCTCGCTCATCGTCGCTCCGCCGCTGTGGGAGGCTCCCCGCCGTCACAGGGCACTCAGCTCGGCAGATCCACTCTCAAGGAGCGCACAGTCACCCTGTCACACAGAGGATGGGACAAAACATAAGCTCCAGTACAATGCCAATTACCATCTTTCAATGTTAAGTAAATACAGACAAGAGGTGATAAACTTGAACTGAATAGTCAACAGAGTGTTCACAATTAGCTCCATCAGTCATGGGCTCAATGTGGGGCATCTCGTTCTGGATGGAATTAGCTGCACTTTACTGTACTGGATTAGCCTTTCTCAGATTTTAGGGTTTAATACATACTGTAACAAATTAAATGAAAATCAAATAGATTCAAAAACTTTGAATCTATGGATTGTGTTTAATTTGTACCTTTTTTTTATAATTTTATTCATTATATGTCACATGCACAGTAATGAAAAGACTATTTAGCAAACACAATGCACTACACTTCATGAATTATGTAAACTCCAGTCTGTATAAAAATGTTCAGAGGAAAAACAGCCCCAGGAGCAGGATGACATTCTTCTTTTACCTGACCCCGGCCATAAACACATACAGTAAGAAGCCAGAGACACACAGCCAATGTGTCCTACACTGAGCTAGTAACAGGAGACAAGGACAGATGAAAGCAGACACCCAGTGGGGAGGCGCATGACTGCCTCACTCACCCACTGATGCACTCCAATTGACTTCACCCAAAGCCTATTACCAATTACTAAATGATTAAAATCAACTGTGGCTACTTACTGTACAATACCACAACATCATTAAGCATTACTGTATGCACCTGACATAAGCAGATGGCTGCACTGAGAGGACAGTGTGTGCAGTGTTTACAGCACGCCTGCACATTTACCAACATGGGGTGACAAATTCCACACATTTTTGAAATGTGCTGTCCTTGACACTGAACATAAACAGCAAAACTGTAACCTTTCTGATGTTTTTCCCCATGTATTTTTAAAAAATAAAAGAGCTGGACTTTAATTTTAAAATCCTAATACCTACAAAATAACATAAAGTCACTGCATAGGTCACAAGTGTATCAGGTTCTGAAAATGGTGATATTGTTCATGTAATATAATGTAACAATTAGTGCAATGCAGTGCTGCACTCGAATTTTTTAAGTCATAAAATAAAATGATTTAGGGGGAACACCCTCTTTCATTTTTGAAGCAATGTACCTAATAATCTATGCAGTGTTTGGGACCCTTAGTGAGACCTCTCCAACTGCACTTCCGTCCATTACGCCCCTGACACTTATGTATGTTATCAAACAAGCGTAAGTTTGGAAAAGATTATTCAGCCATAAGGCCCATAGTTGACTAACTAAGGTTAACTTACTTTCAGTTAGAACAACTGCCATCTGCAACACGATATTAGACCACAATAATATTATTTCCCAACAGGATAGAAATTTAGCTTTCCAACCTGACAAGTAACAGCCAGAAGTCTTCAGTGGAGGAGCTAGCAGGCTGCTCGCTAACGTTATGGGATTATGTTATGCCCCTCTCCGCCTCTGTGTTTTTGGAAGGCCCTCGATAAAAACTCAACGAGGTCAGAGAGCTATACTTGTCGATCTCACCTTTTCCTGCCGTGATCACGCTCTCCGTTTACCACCAAAACAACACTGCCTCTTCCCCCTGCGGAGAAGCCCACTCCAGTCCGCACTCGGGCTCCTTCACTTGGTCGTCTCCAACCGCATATTTACTTCTCGTTTGGCATTTCAAGGTCCATACATTTCCACGGAGCGACAACCCCCCAAGTCCCGTCCCTCGATCCTCACGCTTTGACGCTTTATAGCATTTTTGTGCGGTCCTCGTCCTCTGCACACCGAGATAACATGTTTTAATGGCGGCTGAGGGGAAGGGAAACAGCCGAGGTAGGCCAGGCAAGGCTAAAAAATACACTACGAGCCGAGCAGAGAGAAGAGAAAGCCCTGGGCCGTGTTACAGTGAGAGGCAGAGCAGGATTTACCACCTGAATCTGCCGCGCATTCTCATTGGTCGAGCAGTGTGTATTCCTTTGCATTGACCAATCAGCTTCCACGTCTCTCATTCCAACTATTAAAAGGCTCAAAGCAAAACAAGCGACTGCCTCTGTATCTACGGCGTTCCCGATCTGAATTTCTTCATTTTTTGCAATTTGTAAGTGACTGATAGAAGAAGTATTTTGCTCGCAATTGTTTAATCGGAATTTGTTGCATCTGTGGCAAATAACCACGTGGTTTTGCCTCAAAGGAGATAAAAGAATGATGTCATCGTGAAAATACTGCAGCAGCAGTCTGCAGTATGCATGACAGAGATCTTACATTTCCTATATGTAGGCATGTTTTTCCCTCTGTGGGTGCAAAGATTAGGCTTTCAATGAGATTTTGTTTAGTTTATTCAGCTCTTTGCTGAGTTATGTTCACGACAATCTTGTTTACAGAAGTGGTATTTACAGCTTAATGTCACTGTTAAAGGCATGTAACTACCAGTACGTTAATGCATAAATTGCAACTGTTTTGCTAAATGCTATTCGGCGCAGAGTAGAAAATAAAAGTACTGCGCATGGCATTTCTGAACATCTGAGGACATACAGTAGGCTATGAGGACATTTTATAGTGTAAAATAAAGACACATAAAGTGCATTGAATGAATCTCTTATTTATTATCCAACCATATTCTGCGCTTTTCTTTATCCATTTTTTAAGCGCACAGATCCAGAAGAAACCATAAGATGCAGCTGGACTTTGTGCTTTATGGAGAAATTTATGTGCCTAATGAGGGCATCAGGAAAAACTGTCCCTTATACAGTAAGAGTACAGGTGCGTGTAATATTCAGGTGGTCTTTCTCATCATCATGGAGTTTGCAGAGTAATAACAGGAAGAACTAGTCAGAGGTCAGAGAAGCATTACCCTTTTGAAAAGGTATTGAGGAAAATATACAACCCTCCACCATAAACGATTTAGGCTATGGGACAATCAGATGTTGAAAGCTACCCACAACCCCTGTACAATCATAATAAATTGTTAGTTTTATTGCAAACAAAATAATGTGATTGTGTTCATTGCGTTCCTTTTTTTTTTTTTTTTTTTTTTACATTTGAATGACTTTTCTAATTTTAAATATTGGCAACACATTAAGGCTACTCATCAAAAAAGTAAATAAATACAAACAGAAAATGTTCAAATTTAGCTGTCCAAATCTTTCAATAGAATCTTTTTCCAGCATTATTTTAAAATACTACTTGATGTGTTTGGCATTTTTTTCTCTTGGTATGAGTCCAGTTTATTAAATTAAATTAAAGCCATAGAATTACAATTTGCACTGTCAGATACAGGTCTTTTTTTGAAGAGAGAAGTAATGTAACATGGTTACATCTAGACCTTGTGTATATACTATATTATGTGTCCTACATGTTCAGTAAGTATTAGCACCCTTATCAATAAAAGGGGAACAATGATGTAAAAATCAGCTCATTTTACTGTTAACAAAAATAAACACACAACAGTTTTATGTGATAAGAAAATTGTTAAAATGAAATGTGTAACAGCTATTGGCAGCCATTTGAATTCCCTTAATGATTTATTATTTTTAGTGAACATGGGTGCCAAGCAATGGAAAATATTTTAATCAGGTCTTCAGAAATTTTAAGTACTTGATGTATTGTCAATCAGCCTAAAAAAGGATTTGTCAGGGGGATTGTTCCAGTGGCCTACAAATCAGAGAGAGAGAGAGAGAAAAAAACACTGCTGGAGAATTGCTGAAGTACAAACTTGTCCACATTATCATAGGGTACCAAGAGTTGTAGCAGGTACTGTAGATTAATATGAGAGTACCCCAAAGCAAATAGTGTGTTGTGTGCAGGCAGACACTATCCTGAGTAAAAGGCACAGTACACTGAAGCAAAGTTCAGATACATGAGGTCTGCTGTCAGCTACACCAAGTCAGGGGAAAGATCACTGTTCCCACAGCAACAACGCCCATACACTGCAGGGCCATCAACAATTATGACTTTTAATAGAATGTCAGTATAAGACTAGAGAGCGTTATATGTTCAGGGTCAGTAGTTAAAGAGACAACCAGAAAAAAAGATAGAGTAGCAGCCAGTTTTTATAAGAAGAATGATAGACAGATGCAGTGGTAGCTCTCTGTGTTGCAGCAGCAAAAGGGGAACTTGAAGCATCTGGTTAGTAAAGCTACAGTACATTGTGTTTGCCCTGTGAACCTTGTACGACACACAAACAGAAGACAAAGAGGACTACTTCAGTGGCACATGACAGCATTGGTATAGCATTAGAATGAATTTTAACGATGTTGTTAAGTGCAGCAAGGCGCATACAAGTTCAGTGTTATCCAAAAAGAACACAACATTGACATTCTCGTCAATCATATTTGATTAACTATTAATCTGACAAAATATAAGTATATATATTTATAAAGCACCCATTACGGAAATGGCAGAGTTAATTTTTGTCTTTCTATCAATCATTTTACATGAGTGATGTTTACTTAATTAAGAGCAACATAAAATCAAAATGAAAGAAATGCCTAGTAATAAATCATTAAAGAAATGATTCATAAATTAATCAAAGAAATTAAAAGTTAACCCTTTGTCTACTTCATTAATACAATTGTCACAAGGCTGCAAAATACTTTCACTTTGCTGTTAACTTAAATGGTCTGTTACAAAAAAAAGGCAAAAAAGTGCAAGAGCTGTGGTTGGGATGGGTACTTTGATAAGCAAACATGAAAATAAAATGAATCATAATCATGGGAAAGACAGACGAAGGACCTGTCTTATTACAAACAAGCTAGTTGTCGCCTCCGTGTAAATACCCTGACCACCACCATTCCAAAACAAAACAAAACAAAAAAAACATTAAACACCAGCAAGTTATACCTGTTGATTTCCCCTTAAAATGGAGACTAAGACAAGAGAGAACACACAGCATATGACCACCTGCGCATGCCGTTCACAGTCAGGCCTGGCACTTATGTCCTCTTCAGTCTCTGATCGCTCAGTGGAGCCAGTCTCAAGGTGCAGCGCGTGTCTGGAATTGTCCCTCACACCTCAGTCACGCTCCTATGTGGCCTGGGACCCACGAGCATCGCCGTCAGGGCTCAGAGCTGCCGGTCGCCCATGAGCCATCTGTAGAGAGGCTTCACTCACTAAGTTCTCATATTCACTACTGTCCTCATCCTCCTCATCTTCATCATCATCCTCGTCTTCATCGTCCTCCTGACCAGCAGCGTGTCTGTCTAACGAATCAGAGCTCGACCCATCTCCGTTACCCAGGTAGGGGGAGTTTGGGGTGGGAACAGGATTAGAACCAAGGCTAAGCCCTAAACCTAAGTCCATACCCAGTGGTCCAGGGGTGGGGTGTCCCGGAGATCCCACAGCCTGAGGTCGGGGCAGGAGAGCAGCACTGGTGGGAGAGGAGGAGGATGACAGCAGAGAGTCATCCTGGGACAGGAGGTCTGTGTAAGATGGGGGGTTTGGTGAAGTACTGGGCCTCTGTGGCGCTGAGGGACTGTGGAAGCCTATCCTGGACAGAAGGGCCACCTCAGGAGGATCTGCGTGGTCTTCTGGAGTGGAATGAGAGTCTGCATTCTGGCCTTCTCGCAATCCTGTGGGGAAAAAAAAAGTATAACATTTATCTCATTGTTTTGAAAGTAAAACATGTGAGGTGAGGAACTATTTTAAAAATATTTTTTCTTTTTTTAGTTAATCTATGACACATGTTGATAATTATCTCACATTACCAGCTGCGGCTTTATGCTTAATCATCCCAACAAAGTGTTTCTGGAACATGCTGACAGTCCTACCCATGCATAGAGGCAGCTGGTGGTAGCGAGCAGAGGATTTTAAAAATGTTTTCCAAAATGGCTATGCAACACTGTATCGTGGATCTAGGATTATACTTTCATGGTTTTAACCCTGTCAGAGAGCAGTGAGTGGAGATAGGTGGCATGTCAATTTTAACAGCAATGGCATCTCTCAAATGCAGGACAATTAACATTAAAAGACAACTTTGAGTGAGTTATTGTTAATGACAAGGGGAAACAATTGTAACATGGTTAACTAGCTCCTAAAAGCATTTTTGCATAAAATGTCTTCACTGTGTTTAAATGATGTCTTTAAAAAATCTTACTCCTCTCTTCTTCTGCAGTCTTCCGTTTCCTGAGAGCAATTTGTTGTTTGAGTTTGTTCACATCTTCTTGGATTTTTTCTTTGACTCGTTCACTCTGCTCTACCTCTGCACACACCGCCTGAGACATCAGCAAAACACAGGTTAAACAATTCATTAAAGCACTTACTTAACTGCATATTAAAAGTTTGTTAGTGTTTATACCTGCATTTTATCTTGCAGAGCACTGTACACTTGATAGATTGTTCGAATATCCTTCATCACACCATCTTTATCAAAGAATTCCGCTCTGGAATAATGGAGAGCACATTACTTATTAACAACTTCTCTGCAAACAAAATTGTGCCATGTTGTTTGTTGTACTAGTAAGTTTTTCACATTTTGTTTACATTCAGATAAGGCTTTGGAATACATAAACCTGTGACACAAGAGTTGCATAAAATAAACGATTGCACAAGCCTATTAAGCTTTAAGAGGGTCAAAGCCATCAAAGCTTTCAAAAACCAGAGCTTTGCCCAAACCACTTATTGCTGTACTGCTGAAGGAAAAACACTGGCTGTGTATGCTTTTAAGTTATATTCAGAATGTTGCTTCAGTAGACTCCATACTGGGATTGTGCTCACCCATGCTCTTTGATGACCTTGGTGTAGTTGACTGAGGTGTTGGGCACTGAGGACACTTTGTATTCCTGCTGGCTTGTGTTGCCAAGGTTTGGAAGAGAAAGGGTAATCCTCTGATTGTACCTACTGAAAAAAACAACAACACTATTACTACTCAGTGTAAACACTGGAAATGTATCTCACTCCAAAAAGTTTTCCAAATTTCCAATTTAAATGTAATGACTTACCTTCTGTTAGGCCTAAAGAGCACATACTCCAGTGCATGTGTAGAACTATTGGCTGTAGAGATGAAGCTAAAAAGAAGGAAGATCAAGTCAGGGACGCCAAGCAACTGGGTCAACTGTTTGTGAATGACTTGCTCCCGAAAGGACATCTGCTGCTGAGTGTTCCTCCGAAACCGATACCAGCCAATAACACTCTGCAAAGACAAATTACAAATAAATAATACAACATTTCAATGTTCACAGTAAAAAAAAAAAGCATAACTGTCTTACTTTTCGACGATCTTTGAGTATGTTATTAAGACTTTCTTCATTAACTTTTCCAGCATAGTCATAAAAGCTAAAAAATATGAAATACAAGGTAAATAAAAAAAAAAAATATATATATATATATATATATATATATATATTAGGTCCAGGATTGTCCGAAGTGAAGATCTGGGGCCACCTACTGTCCAAATGTGATTGTTTAGAAAAGGAAATATTACAATACTACAGAGTTGTTTGTGGTGTTTTGTCAAGTATGTAATTAAAAGGCAATAAATGTTGACATAACTTACCTAAACAATTGTGCACAAGGGTCATGATTATGGATTTCTAAGAAAAAAAGATAATCTTAGCTTCAAAAGATAAATAATGTGCAGCATGTACTCAAAGTTTAGTTCAGTCTTTACCAACTACTTGTATTATTTCTGCTGTGGCAATCTGGGCATCACTGATGCTGATAGTCTCTTCTTGCCTTACTTCACCTAGAAGGAAGCCCTCCTGTGGGAAATGTATAGGATTAGGACAGTTGTGACTGATAGATGACCACTTTACATTAAAATATAAGGAGGATATAAATCTCCGGATTTATAGAGTAATATTTCGTTTCAATGAGATGAAATGTCTTTATTAGGGTTAGCTGTGGGTTTATTTTTTGATGAGAGCGTTGTTTCTATAATTCTAAGTAATATGGAAAATACATTGTATTATACTGAAAATAAAATGCTCTACTTTTGTATCAGATCAAAAAAACAAATGACAAGAAGGTAAAGGTTAAAGAAATGGCCAGTGGCTGTGTCGTTCCGTCAAACTATGTGTGGAATGTAGGCAGACTTGTAAACAACCTACAGGCCACCTGCCTCGGCCCATCGGGACGATCCGCACGAGAGGGGACTGATACGGATAGGCCATTTAGGTTATTAACATAATATTCAATGTTCTCTTTGTTCAGAAGGTAACGCTCAAAGAGTGACTGTCATTTATTTTTTATTTTTTATTTATTTTTTTGTTGCAATCTATCTACATTCTGCAACAACTTTACACCAAGTTAGCTAACTAAGTTAGCTGACCATAAACTGGTGGAACGAGTGGTATAACGTTATACTATTACATGTAAACAACAGCGACCCATTAAAGTAGCACTTTTTTAACGCTAAGCACAGACTCTGAGCACCAGTCATAAAAAACAAAGCTATACGGAAGTGGGCTGACTCTAAAGCCCTGCTAGCAGGAACTAGCTCATTGACACTTCACTGGGTATAACCTGAAACCTAAAGTTTACAAATGACAGCTTTTATTCATAAAGCATGCTTCGGGTACTACATGCTTAAAATGAACGTGGCATAACACTGCGATATCCTCAATGAAGATTGGTAAGTAAGACAGCAAATTAGCTAATGACTATATCTGTGATGTTTCGACAGAATTTGATGTAACATAACCTTCCAGTAAATAGACGGAGCCTGGCTAGCTCAGCAACAGGATGATGACAGTGGAAAACAACACTAAACTAATGGCGTCCCAGCGCGATCATACACGCCGCAGACTGACACACACCAAAGCCCCAGTGCACAGGAGCATGCACACACACACACACTCATACTCACATGATCCGAGTTACTGTTGGCGCTGTGATAACACACAGAACTAAAAGTATAACCTGAAATGGATGCCGCCATGATGGAAACATCCCTATCAATCCCAACGCCCCCTGCGGTTGCAAGCACGCTATCGACGCTACTGAACCCAGGAATTGTGGGAATTGTAGTTAATCACTTGAAGTCTACTTCCATCATGGAGGACACTGCAGGGAATGCACATGGGAACTTAAATTCATCTGATACAGAGGACGACAGGTGTTTAGACGAAGAGTTACCACCTTCGACGCTTGGGACGAAAGAGTAGTAAGTGTATGAAGCTGAGATATTTAGTGGAATGGTTCAGTTGCTCACATAGACCCTAGACGGGCATGGGCATAGGCATGGTAGTTGCTAATGAGCAAACTTGATGGCAGTAAACTCAACGTTAAAAGCACCATATGATCAGATGATTTCATCTACACGCACATGCCTAGGCCATAATGTTTTACACGTTTATGTAATATGAAAGTTTGTTTACTGGTGAGCCAGGTGTAATCCTGTCACCATGAGTAGGCTACTTGATTATCATAATCTCTTTTTGCAGTTGGGACAGTGCGTATGAAAAGGAGCTTGAGGTTTTTAAAGACATTGGAGATGTTGGCGAAATATGGTAAGTAGTGCTATGGCCAGTATGCAACAATAAGCTACATCAGATATACTACAATTTTCACAGTAGAAGCAATTGTTTTAATCAAAAAATACAACTATAAAATAAGTATACACAAACTTTGCAGGTTTGGTGAAGAAAGTATGACCCGAGTGATTAAATGGATGAAAAAAGCAAAGATCCCACAAACCGCATCTATTCTCGACATCGGTACAGGAAATGGTGCGTTTCTAGTTGCACTGGTAAGAAAATAACTTAATTCAGCCAAATAAAGTGTAACAATTTTTTTATGAGTTTGTTCTCCTGTATTCTGCTTTACAGGCCGAACAGGGATTCAAAAATCTGATGGGGATCGATTATTCAGAAACATCAGTAGAATTAGCTCAAAATGTTCTTCTTGCTGAAGGCCAGATGGATGCAGCTGTCAAGGTATGTTGAAGCTGATTTGTTGAATCACATAAAACTAATCATTTTGTAATGATGATAATCTGTTTTTGTTAAACAACATAATACAGTCCCTGTTGTGTTGCTTTTGGCCTTGTACAGTGGACAAGAGGACAAATCTTAAAAGTTAAGAAATGCTAAAAACATAGGAGATGAGTTGAAAATTACAAGATATAACACATTTTATTATCGATATATTATTACTGATATTCAGGTGTGAAGTTCAGACTCACTGCTAACTTTAAGCCACTTGATGAGTGAGTATTCCTCCTTGTGTCTCATGTCACTGCAAGTACTGTACATGTTCTGTGCATGAACACTTTTGCCAGTGTAAGCTTTTTCAGCTGAGAGCGTGCCACTGGAGTCAATATTGACCTTTTCTGGTCTGAGGGGGTATACGATGGACGACAGAAGGGAAGTAGAAGGTTGGCATCTAGACCTGCGGATCACCAGAGTAATTTATGTTTCTGTGGACGCTAGTGTGTGTTAAGATGCAAAGAGACACTATTTGCACAGATGTATTTACATGACCTATGAATTTACAAGTATATATCTATGTATTGCAGAATAATAAAAAATTAGGATGCCCTAGCGATGACTTATTTAACAGTAATAAGTAATATTTTTCAATAGTAAATCCTCAAAATGTTGCCTAGAACAGGGAAACTGAAGCCCATGACTAGGTACACCAAGTGAAAGAATGACTTCATCATTAAAAGGCAAGAAAAATATGAGTACATTGGCTGGCAAATATGTGAACCTTTTGAAGCTTTTGATTGAGAGATAATCTTCCTATTCACCTGTGGCATAGACGGTCAACAACCTTTTCTACCATCTTGTCAACCAACCAGGGAGTGTATTTAATCTTGACTGATGCCTCTCTATATACTGTATATCTACAGTAGTATGGAGTGTGCTGTTTATTTTGTGTTTTTAACCCTTGTTTTCTCTGCTCTTGTTTGCTTCAGGAGGTGGATTTCTTAAACTGTCAAGGCCAGCTTGAGAGTTTCGATGTGTGCATTGACAAAGGGACATTTGACGCAATAAGCCTTAACCCAGACAAAGCAAAAGAGAGCAAAAGACTATATGTAGAATCTCTGAAAAGTGTTTTAAAGGATGAAGGATTCTTTGTTATAACCTCATGCAACTGGACCAAAGAGCAGCTACTGGAACGATTTAAAGAAGGTGAGAGAAAGCAGTTTACTGTGTTGTTATTAGGGATGGTATAGTATGGATTTACTTATTTTATTATATTTTTAATATTTTTTATTTATTCAAGTTTTCAAGTTTTGTGTAGTAAAACAAATACAACCAATACAAAACCTGGGGCACTGTTCTAGTGCTATAAGGGTGTGGAAGAATGGATCATGTCTCTTTTTGTTTACATTCCGACCATTTTGTCAGTGTTTAATGAAGAAATGTCCTTTGAGTCATAGAAAAAAAGTCATTCCACTGAATATATTTCTTTTATAATGTCTAATGAGCTTCTTGTTGATGCTTTTTTGATGCTAGTGTCAGAATTTTAAAAATGTATCTATCCAGTGATATGGATTTTTCAACAAATGTGATAGCTGACATTTATCTGGCTCCTTTGTCTGATAATCTGTACTTGTCGATATCAATATAAGATTTTTTACTATTCGTAGCGCATAGTAAAGTTCATATTCACATGTATTGATCTGGAATTTAAGATAATATAAAGAAATAATATAAAGAACTGAGACACTGTAGAAAAAATATCTAAATATCTAAAAAATACCATCCAATCGACCAAACCAAAACTAAATCAAATATGATGTCATGTAGAGGATTTGACATGCCTTCATACACTTAAGTCAGTATTTGAAAATATTTGCACACCGATTTGAAGTTCATTTCGGATTGCATGTGTTGAATATGTAAGGTTGGTATAAAAGACTAGCTGTCACTGGCTTTTTATGCAAGCCACATTTCCTAATAAGGACTTTTCAAATAACTTCCTGGCAATAATCTGTCACTCTTAGATTAGTTTGGATGCTTGCCATTCCTTGGAGACTGACTTTATGCCTCCGTGCTTCTTTAAAGTCAGCTTTACTGTGTGCTAGTAGTCAGACACAGACAGAATGACACAAATAAGACAGCTACCTGGCAGGTTGTTGAGCTGCAGGCGACAACAGTTCAGGCAGGGCTCCATAGCTCAGTGGGGTAAGTGCAGTCGCAGTCTCAAACCAGCAGGGGGCCGAGAGACACTGTCAGCCTGTCTATGCTGGGCCTCCGGACACACAGCAGATGGGGAATGGCTGGCCCTAGACTCCCTGCACTGTCTGAGCCTCTTGTGTGTCTACTCTGCACAATAGTCAGTGTTTGTATGCATGAATATTAAAAACTGTAACCATTTTTTTCATTTGTACATTTTGTTCTGTCTTTGCCCCCACAGGATTTGAGCTTCTAGAAGAGTTGCCCACACCCACTTTCAAGTTTGGAGGGCGGACCGGCAGCAGTGTGACAGCGCTCGTCTTCAGAAAAGTGCACTGATGTTAAATTCAGAATGTTTACTTTACTTTAAATATATCACGTTTTATATGCATGTTTCTGGAGTGTTCTTCATTTTATAGGTCACAATCTTGTATATGCAGAAATAATACATTTAGTACTATATTATATAGTCAATTTTTAAACATATAAAAACATTCTTATTTGATTTCCAACCACCAAGCATACAATTTTGCTTTTATGAATTAATCTGTAACTACTTCAAAACGCAACAAAAGTTTTCTCCTTGGGGATGAATAGAAGTAACTCTGATTCTGAAAGTCCTTGTGTCTACCTTCTAAAATGAACACAAAAGCACTTGCATCTTTCAAGGTAGCTAATTGCATCTGTTTTTCAAGTCATGTGAAAAATAGCCCTTGCCTAATTGATTCAATTGGGAGCCTGCAGAGCTTGGGGTCCCGAGTTCTTTGACATCATAAATAAATAGAAAGACGCTGTGGCATCTGTGGCAGAGAGGTTGTCTGCCACTTCCTTTCTATAGGGCATCATTAATAACTGCCACACAGGGCTGTAATGAGGAGCTGGGATTGGGACCCAATGAGAGATGTTGTTGCTGTGGCATGCTTTTGGGTAAACACGAACAGCTTTACAAGAATTACTGCTGCAATTTTACAAGGCTCTGGATATCCCTGGATGTGCATATTCTACTTCTGTTTACCACTCTCAGACATTTCCCATGAAGTAGACCCTCCCCACAGAGCAGCAGCTTAGTCCAGTCTCATGTTCCCTAGTGGGATCAACAGTTTGTCTCACTTTGATAGAGTCATTTGTCTGGTTTGTTAACTGTGCATAAAAGCATTGTCATTCCCAACAGGTGCTGTTAGAAATTATAGAACTAAATAAATAATAAACATTATTTCCCTAAACAAACTCAGGTTTAAAAATACAAATATTTTCTTTTGAAACAAACATAAGCAAACAGACACATGATAGAGGGCAGGGCACACTAGAGCAAATTTCTGTGAGCTTTGTTTTATGTTCTTTAATCTAAACTGAACTGAACTGTACTGCTGAGTATTTACAACTGCCTGCTGTTTGTGGCTCTAGTTTGGCATATCCCTGAAGCTGAACTTTTTTTTTTTCTCTCAATTTGTAACATTAACCTATGGTTTTGGTAGCACTTTTGCTGTGAACACTATGCTTTCATTTTATCCTCTGCAGTGTGATACAGCAAATATTTATGTTTTTTTCCCCTCATCTCCTCGGTAACACGTTTGAAGGTCTTCTAATAGGATTTTTGAGGATTGGCAGAATTTCTGATGTAGAGGTTTTCCATGGCAGCAGTGCCAATGTGGCTTAGTTTAGTTTATGTTTCCTACGTTTGACTTTTTCTCATCCTTCCTTCCCAGCCATTCATATTTTCTCAGAGCATCAGCATTAAATACTTTTAAAGTAACAATATGGGGTACTCTTATATGTATCTGATTTATGTAGCTCTAACTCACTCAAATAAAGACATGTTTTTTGCCTGTTCCATTTTCTTGTTGTGCCCTTATGTAAAAAGCACGTGGTGCAAATATGATTGTAAAAATTAAATGATTAACAAGGAAACATGAATGAAAGCTGAGCATGGTAGCAAAAGTTGTAAAAGAGTAGGCTATAGTAAATGCCTATGGGAGGAGGGCCGTGGTGGAATGTACCATAAGTGCAAGGGGTGGACGAGTTATACGCTGACATAGTTCTATGCTAAATGCCATTTAAAACCCCTCATATTATGTTTTATTTACAAAAGTCTAACCTTGTTTCTTACATTGTTGTGTAGTTTACTATGTTCTGTGGAAAAGGGTGAGTCTTATGCGTCACGCGTAATGTGTCTTCCCCCTGAATGAAGTGCCTGTGTGAACGCGGATATTGTTACAATCAATGCTGAAGCAGAAAGCAGTGGCGAGCACTCAGCTGCTCGCAGTCTGCTCAGTCCTGTGCTGGCACTGCTGAACTGGCGAAAGGGACAAGTTCTACAGCAGATGTTTTTCTCTCTTTCTTTTGTTGAAGATGATGGCCTAACTTCGACAGAACTTCTGCTGGCCAGGTAGTTTGCTCAGACACACTCTGACCCACTCACACTGGGTTTTCCGTGTCGTTTAGTTTGGACATTTGGGCTACTTTGTCTGCTGTTGTGCACTTTCCTTTTGAAAGAAATGTTATCATTATGAAGAATCTGTGAGTTATACAAGTAAAGTATAAACTACATCGAATTTGAAGGTGTATGTAATTACAGGCCTACTTATCCTTATGTCCTCTGTCACTTTTGATTAGGCCTAAGTATTGGCAACATTGTCAGAACTACTGGTCTTATTGTGAAACATATTTTAAACAATAGTCTATATCACGCTGACAGCATGTAATTATAATAACATGTTCTGTATTTTGACTTAAGTAACCTGTTGCTCTTAAAAAAAATACTGCGTAATGCTGCCCAGAAGAGGAAAAGTCCCTTCGTTACTGTGTATGGCTGTTGTCTTACAGGCGGACAGACAGTGTGGTAGATCATATTGACACTCTAGTGCTCACCACAACCTGTAGCATGAGGTCTGTACAAGCCTTGTGCCCCCTTGTGCTAAGTCTTTCTCTCCACGCTCTGGGTTTTCCATGTCAGTTTGCCACATTTGGTCGTTGTGCACCCAAATATAGGTCAAATGCAAAGGTCTGAGAATTTTTAGATTAGATGCATTCTTTAAATGTTTTGTTACTTTTAAAAACAATTTTCAACTTGGAAGTGTATCTTCTGTTAATGCCACCTGATAACTTGCAACCTCGTTGATTTTTGTGTACACCGTAAACAGAATTCTGAAGCACCCAAATTATGCTTGAAAATACCTAGAAAAGTTTCCCTTCACTGCCACTTGGATGTTGTTCAATGCTCTTAAGGGATGCCTGGCTGGCTCGGTTAACTAAACAGGAAATATCAGTAGTGGTAGCAGTCTGAGGAATCTTGTTTCGAGAAATCACTCTCACAAATTAAAGGTGTAGTTTAATTTCAGGTGTTGACATGATGGAGAGGCTGGGGTTTAATGACATTTCATCTCTAGTGTGTAATTACAGATGCCTGAGAAGAACAATCTTAAGCTTATGACAAAAATTCCTTCTAAACTACTAAAACATGAAACAAAATGTAGGTTAGCAATGTTGTTAGTCCACAGTCTAGTTTCAGACATATGTAATTTATAGTAAGTAATTAAGGTGGTTGGATGTGTAAAGGGATGTGTGTGTGCTGGTGTGTGCGCATGGCCTACACATTGGCAGCGTCTTTGTGTCCCAGGCAAAAGGCCCTATTAGAGCCTATTCTGTCAGTGGGCAGCTGTGTGCTGTGTGCTGAGCCAGGCACTTGTCCTTTCTCTGTCCGTGTGTACAACTGTGGCTCCGTCCACACACTGACGCACATGCTGCTGCCTTCCCCCTCTCTGTTTGTCCTCCTCTATATTTCAATTTGACTTGTTGCCCATTTGTTAATATGTACTTTGTATCTTTCAGTGTTGTTGCCTCTCCCTCTCTCTCTCTCTCTCTCTCTCTCTCTCTCTCTCCCTGGCCTACCTCTCTGGCCTGGGGCATTATGCAAAGCTCCCTCCAAAGGATGGTTAGCTATGCCTGTCTGCCTCCATGCTCCTCACTATTCATTTTCACTTCCCTTTTATTCTCTATGACCCTGCAGCCATAACGGAGACTCAAATGTTGCAGTTTGAAGACATTTGAGCTAGTTTGGTAAAACCTACACCTCAATGTTCTTATGCTGTTTGCTCATTAACATGATAGATTTGTAAGTCTGCCGTCCCGACGCCCACAGAGCCAAAGACCTGAAAAGAAAAGAGGCTTTCTCACATACACCAGAGAAGCACGCCCCCAACCCCCAAACGCAGGCACCAGGCCCTACTTAGAGATGAAAAGCATTCTGGGATGCAGGAAGAATGCTCCCATCAACACGGGCCGCTGTGGTCTCTCTGTGGTGGTGATAGCGAGCCGTCCCCTCAACTTTTCTACAGGCCAAACAAAGGCCAAGTTGTGGCCGGTGTTGTAATGATTGACTCTCTGTTCCCTCAGGCCCCGGGTTTATCGCCATCTGTCACGGGGGAATGTTTGAGATGCATACATGGCTCAGTCAGTGTACATGCTTTCTAATGGTTCTTACATGAGGAGGGCTTGTAGGCCACTGCTTACTCATATGTGGAGTACTGTGTTTCATATGACTGTAAAATTATAATGTTTTTTTTCCACAACATAGACTACATTGCAGGAAACTAAACATATAACATACATGTATGTTATTTGTTATTCTTATGTTATATACATATAACATACATGTAACATAAGAATGTGGTCTCCCATTTTTCTTTTTTCACATTACATAGTGAACACAAATGTTAAAATGTTATTGGAATAATAGGCAATAAAACATTATTAACACATATTCTTGTCATATCATGTAGCGATGGAAACAAATTATAGAAATGTACAGATTGTTGTTTTTTTTTTTACTGAAAGCAGGAAGTGAGAATCTGAGTTGTACAGACAGTGCTAGTTCAGTGTATTTTTAGGTTCTTGGTAAACTCCCAATTAGAAATACATTCAGAAAAATCTGTGTTTATTTGCATATAATTTATAGGCTTAACACCAGATGCCCTGAGACAACACATTAATTATCTGGATCTGAGACTGGCAAATGTATTGAAGAAGAAGTATTTCTTATATTTCATTAATAAAAAGCACAAATGCAGTTGCTTTTAACAGCCAACCAAATCAGAAATAAAAATGGCAACTCCAGTTCAGTTATGCTAATATGGTGATTATTTATTGTCTCAATTAAAATACCATAAATCTCAGGACTTGAAAAAGCTGCCATGATGTCAGCATTACATTATTACTCAATTTAAATTTAGTGCCAGACTATGGCTGTTTTTCCCCCAACATTTACCTTTCATAATCCAGTAGCAATGAATCTGCCCTACTTTAAATCAATGATAATAGCTAATTATTTGTATCTATTTCAAATATTATTCTTAGCACTATGACCCTCTTCAATATGAACTTGACATAAAGTATTACATCTGTCTTAAATGACTATACATGCCTAGGCTTGAGCCCTTCAGACAGAGCCAGTGAGTCTTGATGATCCTGCTTGCACAAAGGCGGCCAATTATCATTGCAGCATGTGTCACAGCTCCTGCTGTTTACTTCTGCAGTAAATAATGATGTCTCGCAAATCATTGAGATTATGTGTTACATGCACCTGTGAGCTGAGGTCAAAATGAATGTAGTATTTAGTGTGCTACTAGTCCCTCAGCCATTTATATTACGAACAGTATATGTCCTGTTCATTTCACCAATTCACCATCTCTCAATTCACTTAAATGTGCGCTAACTTTTATAGTACTACTACCACTAATTATCCCTTGGATATGTTATTGCTTTAGAATGTTTTACAATATGGCTTTAAACTAATACATTTCTATGGAGATGAGCAGTCAACACACTATCAGGTCAAGTTCAGGTCTAGGCAGAGGTGACCCGATGCACAATAAGAATGTTTTTCAAGGTATTGCTATAGAAATAAAATAGGCTACCTTATCATTGAATAAACGCAAGATTAATGAGCTTATTGCCATATTGTAGAACATTTACACAAATCTGTTACATCTCCATGGAGACAAGCAGATGGCAGACCCACCACTAGAAAAGTTACATAGTGCACCTTTTAAATAATACACTACAAATTTCAGTTCAAGACAGCCACACTTGTTGGTACATTTTTCAGCATTGGCTTGAGTGGGTTTAAGTGTAAATGAATGAAATAATTTATAATTTTATAGTTTCAATTAGTCATAGAAAAGTCATTTTGACTGGTCAGGACGATATTTGTATGGTGAAGGTATTTCCATGCCTAGATTAAGTCACTATGAATGGATCTTTGTGGTTAAGCTATGCTAACACATGCAAGAATGCAGCAGTCACACATTTACTTAAATTTGACTTCATTTACAAAAGCACACAATAAATGAAAATACAAATGGAATTTAGAAAGGAATGCAGTTTGACCAGACAGATTATTATATTTAATATGTGTGCATTGAGAGATTAGACAAATGTTTTGCAATTAATTTTTTCTTTTCCATGTAGCTGATTCATTTGCAAATGCAGCTGTATTTTGACATTACTACTAACTTAGTGATTCATCAGGACTTTTTGTGCTGGCTAATCTCAAAGCCCTGAGCGTAGCCTCCATATGTTGAATCTGAGCCCTCAGTGAATGAATGGAGCAGTGGTATGCAGCCGTTGCTTTTCTCTCTGCTACTCTCCCATATGCTTTTAACTCCCTTTCTCTGGCGATTCCCTTTTCAGAATTATGATATTACATAACTGCGTCAGAGGGCACTGTCACTTTATCGCTTGCTGATTGGTAGTGGCAATCTGTATAACATCACTTACTTACACAACAAAAGGAGTGGTCCCTTTGCGCAGCATTTTAAGCAGTTGAAGAGAGGTGGAGTGGGGGTTTTGGCTAGCGCTGAAGGCTCTCGAGTAATGTATCCCTCATGGATTAGGGGTAGTGTGCATAGCAGACAGGCACTCGTGGATAATGGAAGAAACCACAAGCGGAAAGACATAGATTGGTGGTGGTGGGGGTGCAGTGTAATTAGTGGGGTACCTGATGTATGGAAACTCTGGCATGCGAGGGTCACCCCAGGGGGAAACTTGGGGCCCATACTTTTCTATTCAACTCAACCTGCAACACCTGATCCTGCTCCTGTCAGTCTTGTGAGGGTTTTTGTTTAAGGGCCCATATTATGCTATTTTCTGATCTGTGTTATAATGTTTTCTCATAACAAACATACCCGGAGTTGTGTTTTGTTTCATTCACACATGTTTCACACAAATTCACACAAATATTAAGGCTAGGTTATTTTTTCAGACAGAAAACACTCACTTCCACATTGTGATGTCATGTGCTAATACAGGAAGTGCTACACTTCACTAGACCTTCACTAGAATCATCTGGATAATTTCAACCCTTGAACTTGACAATCTATACTGAACTAA